TAAAGATTTTTCTATTTGATCATCATCATTTAACTGCTAAGTCATTGCCTCATATATCCCACAAGGCCAAATAAAAAGTTCTGAAATATCATGGAAATACACACCATTTTTTATTCCACAGTAAAGTTTTATTACAATGGTCTTTTTTCAATAGGAATCTTTCTGACAGTTAATTATATGTCAATTTCATTATTGCTTATTATTAATGACTAGAGGCCCAGTGCACAAAAATTTGTGCACTCGGGGGGGTCCCTCAGCCCGGCCTATGCCCTCTTGCAGTCTGAGACTCCTTGGAGGATGTCCACCTGCTGGCTTAGGCCCACTCCCTGGGGGATCAGGCCCAAGCTGGCAGTCAGACATCTCTCTGGCAGCCCGGCAGCCCTCGGGGGATGTCCACTTGCCAGCAGGGAGCAGACCTAAGCTGCAGTCAGACATCCTTAGTGCTGCTGAGGAGGCAGGAGAGGCTCCCACCATCACCACTGTGCTGGAAGCCATCAGCATGGCTTGTGGCTGAGCAGAGCTCCCCCTGTGGGAGCGCACTGACCACCAGGGGGCAGCTCCTGCATTGAGCGTTTGCCCCCTGGTGGTCAGTGTGTGTCATAGTGACCAGTCATTCCCAGTCATTCTGCAGTTAGGGTCAATTTGAATATTACACTTTTATTATATAGAATAGAGGCCTGGTGCATGGGTGGGGGACAACTGGTTTGCCCTGAAGGGTGTCCTGGATCAGGGTGGGGGTCCCCCTGGGGTGCCTGGCCAGCCTGGGTGAGGGGCTGATGGCTGTTTGCAGGCTGGCCAAGCCCCCCAGTGGGGACCCTCACCCCATGGGGGTTTGGCCAGCCTAGGTGAGGGACTAATGGCTGTTTTCAGACTGCCCAGACCCCCTTCAGGGTGGGGGTCCACACTGGGGTGTCTGGCCAGCCTGGGTGGGGGGCTGAGGGCCATTTTCAGGCTTCCCACACCTGCTTCAGGGTGGGGGTCTCCACTGGGGTGCCTGGCCAGCCTGGGTGAGGAGCTGATGACTGTTTTCAGACTGACCAAGCCCCCTGGCTACCGAAGCTCCCAGCCTTTCCTTTTTTTGTTTTTTTTTGTTTTTTATTCGCTCCAGCTCTGTGGCCATGGTGACTGGAAGCAGGTATCTGGGGTTTATTTACCTTCTATAGTTGAAACTTTGTTGCCTTGAGAGGAGGCCGCAGCAGGCGGGAAGCTTGGCTTCCTCCATCATTGGGACAACCAAGCCTCCTGCTTGCTCCAGCTCCATGGCTGCCGGCTGCCATCTTGGTTGGATTAATTTGCATATAGTCACTCTTATTGGCTGGTGGGCATGGCTTGGGGTGTAGCAAAGGTATGGTCAATTTGCATGTTTGTCTATTATTAGGTAAGGTACACTGTATAGATAGAATCAAAGAGCTGCATAACTTTCAGACTCTAAGAGACCTACAATCACAACACTTTACTCTGTAATAGAAGAATCCACCACCCAGAGAGATGAAGAATCTGGCCAAAGAGGCTGTCACATTTATAAGACTTTAGAGGCTATTGTACTGGTTTTGATACATTCTTCATTTTAAAAGATCAGTGAAATTTTTTTTTTACTTTGAAAATGTGGCCGACACCCAGTCCTTTTCTCTTTATGGGTTTTTAATTAATTATCTCAGGGAGGCATTTGCCCCAAGTCCAGTAAGAACCATGTCTTGCCTTCCCCCTATTGACATAACGTTGAAGGTTAAAGGGTTTTATCTTGGGTTTCACAGATACAATCTGCAGGTGTTGTATTGGGCATGGTGGTGGGTAGTTTGTGCCTGTCCAGTGTGTCCACATGGCATTACCGCTCATTGCATTAGAAACCCCTGTAGCTGTTCAAAGGCTGGTTCCTAAAACTGGAATGAACCATTCTGGCGAGTCACTTTCTTTAAAAGGAGGGAAATTGTAACAGCACAATTGTTCACAGCTCCCTTCTGTTCTGCTATTATGTGATTTCAAAAATCCTCGAGGTTTTCTCTTTTCTTTGTAATAACATACACATAATACAAACATTTGCTACTTCAAAGTGTGCAATTCAGGGGCATTTACCTACATTCACAATGTTGGGCAACTACCATCACTGCCTCGTTCCAGAACATTTTATCACCCAGTGAGCTCGCACTCCCCAATCCCCTTCCTCCAAGCCCTTGGCAATCACAGATCTGCTGCCCATCCAGTGGATTTGCTGGTTCTGCACATTTCATAGAAATCGGGTCACACAACATGTGGCCTTTCCTGTCCACCTTACTTTGCTCAACAGAGTGTTTTCAAGGTTCATTCCCGTGAGAGCATGTATCAGTCCTTCATCTCCTATTATTGTTGAATGACACCCCAGTGTATGATCGCATCACCGTTTGTTGATCCATTCATCAGCTGATGGACATTCGGATTCTTCCACTTTTTGGCTATTGTGAATAGTAGTGCTGTGGACATTCACATACAAGTTGTTATTTGAATATCTGCTGTTATTGTATATGTAGATATAGTTATTACCTAGCTTATGTGATAACTATGTTTGACTTACTAAGGAGCCACCAAGCTTTTCTATAGTGGCTGCACTGTTTCCATCCCCAGCAGCAATGGATGAGGGTGCCCTTTTCTCCACATCCTTGCTAATACTTGCTGTTTTCCATTTCATAGTTGTCTTCTCATGTCCGTCCAGTACACGGGAAGTGGGACCTCTTTGTGGTTTCAATTGCATTTCCCTAAGGACTATCGATGTCGAGCATGTTTGTTGGCTGTCTGTATTTCTTCTTTGAGGAAATGTCTACTCAAGTCCTTTGCCCATTTGATTTTTCAATTGGGTTGTTTGTCTAATAATTGTTGAACGGAATCAAAATTTTCTTTTTTTTTTTTAAATATATTTTATTGATTTTTTACAGAGAGGAGGGGAGAGAGATAGAGAGTTAGAAACATCGATGAGAGAGAAATATCGATCAGCTGCCTCCTGCACATCTCCCACTGGGGATGTGCCCGCAACCCAGGTACATGCCCTTGACCGGAATCGAACCCTGGACCTTTCGGTCCGCAGGCCGACGCTCTATCCACTGAGCCAAACCGGTTTCGGCCAAAATTTTCTTTTAATATACATGAATGTTTTTACAACTGTCAAATGTTTGCAAGCCTAAGTGTATCTTTTATCTCTCCTTGTTTCATCTTCTTTTATGTGAAGATCATGCCCACCAGAATAATTTTCTTCTGTATTGGAACAAACTGAGCCTTGGTTCCTTTCAACCCACAATTTCATGAACGTGTGAACCTAAGATCAGATTAATGGGCTTAGTCAGGGAGCTTGACTTTCTAGCTTGTCTTCCTGGGATTGGCACGCCCGAGTCTCCAGAACTATTCATGAAATTCTTCCTTAGACATTGCCTTCCAGGTCTGTGATTGGGAAACAAATTCATGTATGGAATTTATGGATGATAAATCCTAACAGTATTCATTTATTTCTCCCCCAAATGAGCTGACTCCAACATAGCTCAGCATTTCCAAACTATACAGAAAACAATTTCCCAACTATCATTTCACAACATTTGAGCTGTGGCTTCACTGCTAGGGAAAAAAAAAAAAAACTCCTCAATCTTTTCAAAATCAGTATAAATAGTGAGAATGAATGCAAAGCATAAAGCCTACTTTTCATTATCTCATCCACTAAGGTACCCTTCTAAAATGACCCATATACTTGGATAGATAGGTTGCAGTATTTTTACCAAACAATAGTTCTTGTTTCTCATAGCTTGCTATGCCTTCTCCATCCGCAAGGAGCATGAAGAATTATAATTATAATCCCAAGGGGCAAAGCGAACTGCTTATAACCTTTTTACAGTGGGAGGTTCCAGAGATGTGTGAGAACAAATGTTGGTTAAGAAAAGAACTTCAGCCCTAGCTTGTTTGGCTCAGTGGATAGAGTGTTGGCCTAGGGACTGAGGTGACCCTGTTTCTATTCCCAGTCAGGACACAGGCTCGGGTTGCGGGCTTGATCTCCAGTAGGGGCCGTGCAGGAGGCAGCCAATCAGTGATTCTCTCTCATTGTTGATGATTCTATCTCCCTCTCCCTTCCTCTCTGAAATCAATAAAAATATATTTAAAAAAGAAAAGAACTTCAAATAATAAACAGATTTATTAATTGGAGGTTTATTCCTCTCTGAAGTAGAAGACAATCAATCGATATGTCTCTTCTCTCTGTGTATCTCTCCCCTGCCTTCACTCTCTCTAAAAATCAATGGAGAAATACCCTCGTGAGGGTTAACAAAAAACAAAAAAAGAAGAAGCCTTTGTCCAATGAGAGAAGAATCTACCCTCTTCCCCAGAACAGACAATTTCTTGATTTTTCACATACAGATTTGGTTTACCACATTTAAAAAATAATAGTGTATGTTGTATTGGGCTTTCCCCCCCTTTCTTAAGCTAGAGAATGTTTGGGCTTAAGGAGGTAGAAGGGGGTAGAAGGAGAATCCCATGGTGGGATTCTGCCCCCACTTCTGTGGGGGGTGCCAGGGCCCCCTTACTCTGCTGTGACTCACGTCTGTTCGGTCAGTGGTTGTGCTGGACGAGGCTCCATAGATGGCCTTGAGCCTGTGCCTCTGAGCATGTGGGCCTGTCTGTCGGGAGTGTGTCTGAGAGCATCTGGTGTCCACCTTCTGGAGGCAGTCAAGCTGTCTGCATGTTTGTGACCTGTCACGGAACCCAGAACCGGGGGCTACGACCTAGCTCCAGGCTGCAGGCTCCTTTCCCACGTCACCTGTTCACTCAGGGCTGGTCAGCCCCCTCCTCTGAGCACAGATAGCCTGTCTATTTGTAGGCAGAAGAGCGTCCTGAACCCTCTGCCCACAGCCGTACTCAGTGGACCAGGTAAATGTACTCAGGGCTGACGTGTGGCCCAAACCCTATAAGGGCCGTCTGAGCCCCGCTGCTCTCCACTCCTCTGCACAGTCATCCATTCGCAGGAGGGCTGGGCACGCGAGGAGTTCGGCCTCATGAAGGTCCTCTTTCTTCTCGCTGTTCTCCACTGCCTGGTCCTGATGAACTCAGGTAACCCTGTTGGACCAGGGAGGAGGCTGGGGGAGGCCGAGAAGGCCGGGGAGGCTGCAGAACTCACGGACATGTCCCCACAGGGCTGTGTGTCTGCACGGGGTTAGTGTGCAGGTACCCGCCCCCCGCCCCCCGCCCCCCGCCCCCTTCTCCCCTCCTCCCCAGGGCTCAGCTCTGGGCTATTTTTCATCTCCCCTGTGAAGAGTGTTTTAAAGACAGATGTGAAATCAAGATCCTGCCAAAGGCACAGGGCACTCTGCTCTGGGACAGCCAGGAAGCGGGCACTGCAGGGTGAGGCCTTTAGAAGGCAAGGGCAGGTGTTCCTGGCAGAGCAGGAAGGACGGGACCCCCAGGGACAGCTCCTCACTCTCCGGGGAGAGAAAACCTTCTGACTCACGTTCTGCTGTGTGATGGACAATTACGGGCATGGTAGTTAGTCACATGGGGCCCATTTGACAGATGGGAAAGCGGAGGCAGGGACGGTGAAATGAAAGGTCCATGGAGAAATACTTCGTTACTGTAACAGTAAGACCAGAATCCATTCTCCAGGTCACTAGGCTCTGGACCCCCCACCTTCATTAGACATGGGCTGTTTGCTCACCTCACTGTCCTCCCCAAACCTGAATGGAGCTGACTGAGGCAGGACCCCAGCCGTGCCTCCTTGTGGCCAAGACACATGCGAGGTTTCTAATCATGCCAGACCTACACTGCGTGGGAGTTGGGGTGGGAGGGTGGGGTGGTGTCTCTTTAGTTTAGGTGTGTGTCTTTTTAGTCATGACAGTTGGCATTTGCAGGCCTGACATAAGACCTTTTTTTAATCCTCTCATTCCAAATGGCAAATGGTTTTTATTATTTTTGAGGTAAAATTGACCTATAACATTATATTGGTTTCAGGTGTATAATGCAATGATTTGTTATTTGTGTATATTGTGAAATATTTATCGGACATGTCTCATTAAAATCCATTGCTTCACACAGCTACGATTTTTTTTTCTTGTGACAAATATGAAATGTTTTCCTAATGGGGACATAAGGTGCTTGTGCCTGACCTACACACGCACAAGTAAGGGTGAGGAGAGTGGTTTTATTTTCTGCCTTTCATTATAGGATATAAAAATGAAAATTGGGCCACAAACTGAGGGTCAGAACTATTTCCAAGTTTCCTGGTGACTGAGACCCACCCTCCATTCTTCCACTCCGGTCACCCAAACTGCCTTTGCCCTCCCTAATGTGTTAGCTCACATCGTACCCAGGGAGGTTGGAACCAGTCAGGCCCTAATAATCTGGAATAAAATGGACAAGTCCAGGCGGCACTTTGAGGTACAGCTTATTGTTCCTGTTTTAAAGCTGGGAAACTGGAGCTCAGGAAGCCTGGAACTTGTTCTGAGAAAGTCAACGCTGTGAGAATACAGTCACCACCTGGAGTTGGGCTGTGGGCTGGGCTCCGCCTTCATTCTCTGTGTGAAGGAAATATCAGCTCTCTTCTATCGTGTCCACAGGCGATATCCCACCTGGAATTCGAAATATTATCTGCATGATGCAACACGGAACCTGCAGACTCTTTTTCTGCCACGGTGGTGAGAGGAAGGGGGAGATCTGCTCCGACCCTTGGAACAGGTGCTGCATATCCACTGTAGAGGAAGAGAGGAACAATAAACCGGAGAAAAGTGACAAAGCTGACATGGAAGCTTCTGGAAGGCAGCCAGGACCTTCAAGTCCCCCAAGAGCTTAGAAAGATGCATGGCTTACATAGGTGCTCAATAAACCTTTGCTGAATAAGTCCAGCACCCACGGTGGAGGTCTGATAAAAGAATTTTCCTAAAAGTTTTCTCACTTTGTCTTTGTCAGTGCTTTTTCAGAGTCTCAGAATTTGGGCCCTGGCCAGTGTGGCTCAGTGGATAAAGCGTCCGCCTGTGGCCTGAAGGATCTTGGGTGTGATTCTGGTCAAGGGCATGCACCTTGGTTGTAGGCTCCTCCCAGGCCCTGGAAGGGGGCATGCAGGAGGCAACCAATCGATGTGTCTCTCTCACATTGGTGTTTCTCTCTGTCTCTCCCTCTCCCTTCTACTCTCTCTAAAAATCAATGAAAAAAATATTCTCAGGTGAGAATTAAAAAGAAGTCTCAGAACTTTGTAATATTCTACTCCCTTTCTCTGTTTCAGAGGGTGTCTCCTACCTACCCACAGATGGGGGTGAACTTGAAACCAAGGTCTAAACCATCTTATCTTCACAGGGACAGAATTACAGCCAACCCACCTGCTTCTTGTCCACTTGAGTGACCACATCAAACCCAACATCAGCTCATCCTATGTGCTCCCAGATCACAGGGAACACTGTGCCCTTCCCCTGGCCCTTCCAGCAATAACCCCAGGAGGTCTCAGGTTCCTAGGACTGTACTGTTTTCACAGGTTTACTCTTAGTAACCTCCCTTGGTTAACCCAACAATCTATTGTAGCAGGGAAGTCAGGAGGTTAAGTGTATTGCCCGGGCTAGCCATTCCTAAGTGGGATTCTCAGCATACCTGCTGGCCAAGGGCTTGTTGTTCTAGTTGCCTCTTAGCAACATACTTCTTGGCAATTGAAGCAAGGTGGGGTGCCTGCTAATAGGATCCCTGGAGCTTTATTTGTTTTTTTAATCATTTTATTACATTGATGGGGTAGCCTCGGTAATAGGATCATATAAGTTTCAGTGTTACAGGATCTGTAGATTGCACCATGTGCTTACCACCCAAAGTCCAATCTTCTCCCATCACCATATATTAGACCCCATGCACTCCCACGCCCTTCCCTCTGGCAGCCACCACCACACTGCTGTTTGTGTCCACGAGTTTGCTTTGTACCCCACACATGAGTGAAATCGTGTGGCACTTCCCCCACACATACTGCCTTGAGCGTTCCACCCTCCCCTTTGCTTTCCTCTGGATGCCGCTCAAGCTGCCCTTCATAGCTTATCTCTGAGCCAGTCGGTCCCAGGGCAGTGAATAATGACAGGTCAGACACATAAAAGATAATAAAATCAGACGTGCTGATGTACAAGATCAGGTACCCAGCTTTTCTAGACTAACAGCTCAACAAGACGACCTGTTCCAATGTTTCTGTCCACTGCCCGAACCAGTTGTCCATGAATCAGCTGAGCTTGCCTCCAGAGTCCCTGGAAAGCAGACTTCTGTTGCCTGTCTCCAAGCCCAAGTCCAGTGAATGTTGGGGTAATGCCTAGGCCTCTCCCAGACTCATCACACTCACTCCTAGCTTTATTTCCTCAATCTCTCAGACAAACCCACTGGCTTTGCAGCGGAGCCCTTCCTATCCACGGGCAGCCCCGGAGAGCCCTCTGCCCCCCTCTCAGAGGGCAGGGGCCACTCCAGATCTGCCATATTCCTGCATGTGGACCAGGTGAATGTTAGGTCCCCAGGAAACACACATCTCAGGCTTCAGGACATCCAAGGGGTCTGGGCTGCCTGTCACTGCTTGAGCCAATTCAGCAGTGACAGAGCTGAGTCACATATGAGTGTTCATTCCAATCCTGCCTGAAGCATGGGAGAGCAGCAGGTCACCCACAAAATTTGTTCTGCCCCCCACCATAAGCCAGTAGCTTACATTGGGGAGAAGGACAAAGGTTACATGGGAAAGTAGGAAGAAGGGCAAATGGGCAGTTTACAGGTAATGCGGGCTGGAGATTTGCAATGGCCTGTGAGTGTGCAAAGGCTGGGGGTCTTCAAAGGCTAGTGATATGTAAAGAGCTAGGGTCTTCAGTGGGCTGGAAGCTCTGGTTTCTGGAACAGGTTGTTAATCTTTCCATGCTAACAGGCAGCTCCCTGGTGGGGAGGATGGGCTGCACTTCCAGGTGAGCTCCCAGGTCCCATCCCAGGCAGGTTAGAATGAACCTTCTTTAGTCAGAACAACACAATCACAGTTAACAGAGCAGGGTTACAATTTCTTTTTTAAAAATATATTTTATTGATTTTTTACAGAGAGGACGGGAGAGGGATAGAGAGTTAGAAACATTGATGAGAGAAAAACATCGATCAGCCGCCTCCTGCACACCTTCCACTAGGGATGTGCCCAAAACCAAGGTACATGCCCTTGACCAGAATCGAACCTGGGAGTTTTCAGTCTGTAGGCCGACGCTCCATCCACTGAGCCAAACCGGTCAGGGTGGATTACTATTTCTTACAATTAGCTGGTCCCCAATATTCTATTCCTGCCCTATCAGGTGGGCACACACAGGCTCTGCTTAGAGCACCGCCACTCCACCTCTACCCCCAAGTAAAACTCAACAAAGCCTGGGGGGACAGGCCAGGCCCAGATGCTGGAAAGTGGGTTGCAGTCCCTGTCTTACGCTGAGAAGGTGCCATTGGCAACCAGTTTCTTCTCTTGGCCTAATTTTCCTCCAAAACAAAACGAGTCAGCTGGTCCAGGCACTGGGACCCTCACAATTCTTCAGGCTGTAGAGCAGGCTCAACACTACAGCAGCGGTCCTAGGGGTGGGGGGCTCCATCAGGGAGGTGAGGAGAAGAAACCAGTGGATCTTCTGTCCCTGGAGGGTCGGGTGACAGACAGCCTGCTGGGCCCTAGGCAGAGCCCAGGACCCGCCAGCAGGGGATTTGCACTCGGCCTCCTCTGCACTGTTTACCTTTCCTGATAGAAACAGAAACATTTTCTCGTGAAAATGGGGCCTGATGGGGCCTTCCTGGTGACAGTGTCGGGCCCTCTGGCAGGAGTGCCGGTATACCCTTGTCAGAGGTGGCAGGGAAGAGGTGCCCCAGCACTGGCTGGGGCTTCGGGAGGCAAAGGTGCTGGGCAGGGAATTAAGGCCAGGTGCGGGAGGGGTGCCAGGTGTCCTCAGCAGCTGCACTAGAGTCAATCCGACCCTTTACTTCATCCTGTGAAAATGTGTCCCAAATACCTGGATGCCAGTGTTTGCACTGCCTCTCTGAAATACGAAATAAGTCCCTTCATCTCCACAGCATCCTTCCCCCTTTTTAAAGCATTGAGTTGAATGTGGTCCTAAGATGCCCTGGTGTGGCTCTAAAAGAGCAGGAAGCCCCAAATGATGACCATTTTTCAAAGCGAGAAACTATCTTGGCCACAAGCAGTTTGTCGATCCCTACAATGGCCAACAGAGGGCGCGCTGCCTCTGGCCGGTTTTGATAATGGCTTGTTGCTAAAGAAAGAAAAAGGGGAAAGGGTTGAGAAGTACAGATTGGCAGTTACAGAATAGTCACAGGGACGCAAAGTACAGCACAGGGAATATAGTCAGTACTATTGCAATAACTAGGTGGGTACTACACTTATGGGGGTGTCACTTTGGAAGTTATATAAATGTCTAACCACTATTCTGTACACCTGAAATTAATATAATATTGTATGTCAAGTGTAGTTAAAAAAAAAAAATTAGGCAGCCCATGTGGCTCACTGGTTGACCTATGATCCAGGATGTCAGGCTTTGATTCCCAGTCAGGGCACAGGCTCAGGTTGCAGGCTCCATCCCCAGTGTGGGGCGTGCAGGAGGCAGCTGATTGATTATTCTCTCTCATCATTGATGTTTCTATCTCTCTCCCCCTCTCCCTTCCTCTCTGAAATCAATTAAATATATAAAACAAAAACATTAAAAATGAGGAGAGCAGCAGCTGGAAATATAAGTCAGGTTAAGCCTGACTTCCCAGCATGCCTAGCTTGCCTTTCTTGGCACGAGTTAGACTGGAATGCCTCATTGGTCTCTTCCCAGCTCCGAGTTCCATTGCAGGTATGTGGACTGCAGGGGTCAGGCTGCCATTAAAGCATCTCTGTGCACCTCTTCTTATCTGGGAGAGGGGCCAGGCCAGGCCAGCGAAGCATAATGGACAGTGAGGTCCAAGCCCACCCCTGCCCCTTGTGGAGTTCAGATGCCCCAGGGCCCAGTGCTGAGCACTCTCAAGTGTGGGGAGGAAGCTCAAGGCAGTAGAAATAACTGGCTCAGAGGAGGACCCACAGGTGCCGCCCAGATCTGCCACTCATTGTGCCCCACGGCCACCTCCCCCGGGGATTCTACAGGGACTGGGACAGGATCACCAGCAGGCAAGCAAGTAGAAAGCAAGAGCTGTGTTCCCTGCATCCCGACCTGGGACCCTGAGCCTGTTCCCCATGGGGACCTACCTGCCTGTCATCCCTCTGAGACACTACCCTGTGTGGGGTTTCAGGTGGGTGCTAGACCTGTGAGGGTATCACTGTGTACGTTATATCCCCTCCAGCTTGTGGTGGGAGAAGGTGCAGGCAGACAGGGGACTTTGCCTCTGATCCTAGTGGAAGTGGCCCGGGGTCATGCACCCTCTCTGACCCAGGAGGGGCTGGCCATTCTGGGAGTGGTCCGGGACCCAGGCAGCCAGTAGGGGCAGGGGCAGGGACCAGACTGTGTCCAACAGGGTCCAGTGGTGAATGCCGGGCAGGTCTGCATCCTTCCCACAGTGACTCATCCAGAGGCAAGTATAATTATCCCCACTGTGCCTCCAGGAACTTCCTCTTCTGAGCTGACTCAGGGAGTAACCAGGAATGAATGACAGGCATTCCCTCCTTACACCTCAAGGGGCTCGGACGCCCCTCCACTCAGAACCCTCACCTGCTTCCTTCACAGCCCAGAGCCTGTCTCATGTGCAACGCTTTTTCTTGAATATTTAGCTCTGTGTCTACTGCATGGCTGTGGAGGGAAAAAGGGAGGAGAGAGAAGGAGGGAGGGAGGGAGATAGAGATGGAGAAAAGAAGGAAGAAAGGGAGGAAGAAATGAAATGAAGGAAGTTGAGAGCACGCCCAGTGGGTGGCACTTGGCAGGGCCCTGGCATTGCTCCACCTGAGCAGATGACAGCCAAGAATCACGGTGACTCAGGAAACTGAATGCTCAGGCGTGGTGCTGGGCGTGGTGCGGTCCCCAACAAACACGGCCAAAGGAACTGAAAAAGCCACAGTTTCACTCGACTGCTGTCCTGGCGCAGCCACAGGGGGAGCCCAGAGGAGCACAGCTGGTGGCCAGCCACCAGGCCAGGCTTATGTCTCGCCAGGTGAGCGGCCTCCCTCCTGGGAAATTGCCTTCCTCCAATCCAGTGGTTCTCAGTGCCACCCTGGCAGCTCTTAGGATCATGTATAATGCCCGAGGCTCCCCCTGCGGGGAGGGGTCTGACAGACTTGGGATGGATCTGGGTAGTTTGTAGAGCTACCTCAGTGAAGCAGGGCCAGTTGAGGCAAGTTTGAAATTTGTGTTCAAGGTTAGAAAACAAAAAAAGGAAGAAGGTTTGCACCAAAGAAATAAACAGATAAAGGTGTGAGATGAAGGGTGTGTCACTAACTATATGGGGACTTCCATCAGGCCATGAAATTTTAGTATCTCACCATTTGGTCAATTATACGTCGATCAAGCTGAGAGAAGTTTCCTGAAGCCTGACTCTGCGACATGCTTATAACAAAGCACAAAGAGTCCCACGGCACAAAATAAATGTTCTGTCATTGTCACTTAAATATGTATGTACGTATCTATATTACATAGGCTGTGTTGTTCACGAGGGCTAGTGCCTAGCAAGCAAAAGAATGAGAATAAAGATGCAAACAAAAGAGGTCAGCAGAAAAAAGTGTGTGTACCGTGATTGTAAGGGAGGGGGTCGGAAAGAAGGAAATGGAAGGAAAAAAAATGAACAGGAAAGAGCAAAGGACAGAGAATCAAGGATTAACCGGGGCTGTGTCTGAGGGTAAGTTCCATCATGCGTGAGGGCAGTGAGGTCCTGCAGGTGGTGGAAAAGGGGAAGTGTTTCCAGGCTCTCAAATCAGGAACAGAGGGATCAGATGGTCTCTGTATGTGCTGAAGTGAATCCTGTGTGTGTGTGTGTGTGTGTGTGTGTGTGTGTGTGTGTGTGTGTCAGTGTGTGTGTGTGCGAGTGCGTTGAGGGGGGCGGGGGGGGGGGCTGTGAGTGCATAGGGGAGCAACCAGGGGCCTCTGGGTGAGTGGCAGAGAGAGAGGAGAACATAGGCCCCAAGGGAAACAGATGTGCCTCGTGCCCAGCTCTGCGCTGGGTCCTCCGAGGTCCATGGGGAAGTTAGGACACAGAGAGTCTTTCTCAAAGAGCCCAAGTCCTGCACTCAAGATGTGACCAGAAGGTAGGAGAGTACCTTGGCTCTGTTTTCAGGAAGATCTGAAAACAAGATGAAGTATAATTTAAGCAGCTCCCTAAAGTCCATGTTAGCCAGGCATCCATCATGCAAGTGAGAGAGGTCAGGGAAAGGTGGACGGGCCTTGAGATCTGTGGAAAAGCGTGAGTGACCCGGTGTTCCCATGTAGGAACACGGGCCCTCTTGGCTAAACCTTCCATTTTTTCTGAAGCAGCCACAGATATGGATTTTTATGCAAAATCTTTTAAATGTTGGCAATTAATATCAAAAGTTGGGGCTACATTCCACTCATAAGTTTCCAATCCATGTCTGTGGTTAGATGCAAGAACCAGTTTGACTCATGTAATGAACTATGGGGATTAGGCTGTCCTAACCTCAGACACCATGATTCCTGTCCCTTTGCAGGCACAGAGGGTCCGTTGCTAACCTATATTCACATGGTCCATTTGTCACCCACTGGTGACAAGTGCACAAGTTGCAAATCCCTTGAAGAATGTTGTTTGTACTACACCTTATTACAGCAGTTACCCATTGCGGCATAACAGATGACCCCAACACCTATTGGCTGAAAACAACACTGAAGACCTGACCGTTTCTGTGACTGTGGATGCCATGCCTGACTCAGGTTGCTTCTGGATAAAGGCGCTCATGAAGTTGCAGTCATGCTGTTGGCCAGGCCTGGGACCCACGTCTCTAGTCACTCACGTGGTTGGTGCAGAAGTCAGTCCCTCGCTGGCCGTTGGAATGAGGGTCTCGGTCCAGTGTTAGCTATTGGCTCTCCCACAGGCACTGCAGTCTTTCAAACCTGTTGCTTTGCACACTCCTCCACTCTTCTCATGTTCAATCATATCAACTTTAAATTTTTTTCAATTATACTTGACATTCATATATTATTTATGTTTTATATTATACTAGTAGCCTGGGGCACAAAATTCATGCACTGGTGTGGTTGGGGGGAAAGGGGCCCCTCAGTCTGGCCTTCACCCTCTCCAATCTGAGACCCCTCAGGGAATGTCCAACTACCTATTTGTGCCCACACTTTTAACAGATAACAGCTCCATTGTTGTTTCTTTCTTATGCTTAAAATCATTGGAATTAGTAGGTATTCAAAGTGTGTATACATTTGGAGGAGACACCCTGTATATCTCTAGTCAGTGGTGAAAGAAACCAACAGCAGATTTGGAACCCCCAGACAGGGAACCTCGCTCAGTCCCCACATGTCTCCCCACTTCACTTTCCACCTTCGTGGGCAGCAGGAGAATCAACGTTTTCTCTCATTAATTTGGAAAAGCACGTCCTGCCACTCGCTGCCAGGCAGGAGTGCGCTAGGCCCCAAGCAAGCGAGGCTCAGTCAGGGCAGCCTTCACTCATGGGTGCTGGCACCCAAAGTGCACATTCCTTCTCTACAGTCGCCCCGACTATCCCACTGTTTCACTGAGAGGACGAATTCCTCTCCGCCTCTGGGTTCTTGATCTTGAACGCTGACCAAAGGCACCTCAATGAGGGCCGCCCGCCCACCAGGTGTGTCTGTCTGTGCCTGCTCCTGCCTCAGCACCTGCATTAACCCCCCAGAGGTGATCTTGTACCTGCACTGGCCTCTGTGGGAACAGGGCATCACCACTCCGCCTTCTCACTGTCATCTCACAGGCACCCACCCTCAGCACCCAGAACACCCAGACACTCTCCAAAGGACGTGAGAGCATCAGAGGGGATGTGTGCACATCCTGTGGGGGTGTTAGGCATGCCGGGTTGATGGAAGTGCGGTGGAGAGGAGGGGGGAACTTGTGCACGCCTTGGTTTGCAACTGTTGCAGGCGCGGGAGGGTGACAGTGTGCTGGGGGATGTTCGCATGCCAGGGGGGATGTGCACACCGGAGGCCTCTGGATTTGCAGATCCGCAAACCCCCATGGTGCGGCCAGGAGGACGTCAGTCTGGCCCACCATGGTGGCTGTCCCTGCGATCCTGCACCTTCTGGGCCAGGAGGAAGATCTTGCACAGCCACTCCTGGGTGCTGATGGCCTGCAGGCACTACTTCAGCTCAGCCTTCAGGCTCCGCTTGGTGCACTCAGAGCTGTCACCACCACCATACGGGGAGTACAGGCCACCCTCCGCCGGCCTGCCTCCCCTGTCCAGACGCTCTCTGCGCTGCTACCTGCCCAGAGTCACTGGGGCTGGGCAGAAGCCAGGCGTCCTGCCCTGCCCAACCCCAGCTGGTCCGCCCCTGTGCGAGCTGCCACCCCACCGGGAAGGGTCACGGATCCAGATCCCGGGACTGCGGACAGTCTCAAGCACTGCCCCCCGCCTGGCAGGGTCATGGATCCGGGGCCCAGGACCGCAGACAGCCTCAAGTACTGCCCCCCACCCGGCAGGGTCACAGACCAGTGTCTTGGTCCCATGGACAGCCTTAAGCACTGCCTCCCACCTGGCAGGGTCACAGATCCGGGTCCCGGGACCATGGACAACCTCAAGTGCTGCCCTCTGCCCGGCAGGGTCACAGATCCATGTCTTGGTCCCGTGGACAGCCTCAAGCACTGCCCCCCACCTGGCAGGGTCACAGATCCGGGTCCCGGGACCACGGACAGCCTCAAGTGCTGCCCCCCACCCACCAGGACATGGATCTGGGTCCCAGACCACCGACAGCCTCAAGCACTGGCCCCCCACCCGGCAGGGTCACAGATCCGGTCCCAGACCACAGACAGCCTTGCCCGTTGCCGCCTCCTTCAGTATACAAATTAGCCACCATCTTGTTGCTTCAGTGTGGGTCCCCACTGGGGTGCCTGGCCAGTCTGGGTGAGGGGATGATGCTTGTTTTCTGGCTGGCGGGCAACTGAGGCTCCGAACCTCTCCTTTTTTTCTTTTTTGTTAATTCTGGGATTTATTTACCTTCTATGGCTGTCACTGGAGCTGAGAGCCGGCTTTAGCTCTGAGGCTTGGCTCCAGCTCTGAGACCTCTGCTGCTGAAAGCTGGGATCTGGGTTTGTTTGGGTTCTATAATTGAAACACTGTTGCAATCCTGCTGGCTGAAGCCCGGCTGGCTGAAAGCAGGTTTCTGGGGATGGTTTAGCTTCTATAATTGCAACATTGTTTCTTAGAGTGCAAGCTAAGAGGCTGGCAGTGGCAGGCGGGGAACCTTGGCTTCCTCTGTCACTGGAACAAGCAAGCCTCCTGTTCACTTCAGCTGCCTGGCTGCCGGCTGCCATCTTGGTTGGCAGTTAATTTGCATATATCCTGCTGATTAGCCAATGGGAAGGGTGTCGGGGTTATGGTCAATTTGCATGTTTCTCTTTTATTAGATAGGATTATTTTATATTAGTTTCAGGTGTACAACACTGTAATTTATATAACTTACAAGGTGATCCCCTCAGTAAGTCTCGTACCCACCTGAGAGCATACATAGTTGTTACAACATCGACTCTGTTCTCTGTGCTGTGTTTTACATCCCATGACTGTTCTATAACTGCCAATGTGCACTTCCCAATCCCTTCACCCTTTGCTCCCATCTCCTGACCCTTCTCCCCTCTGGCAACCCTCAGTTGTTCTCTGTGTCTATGAGTCTGTTTCTGTTTTGTTTGTTCATTATATTTTTCTTTAGATTCTACATGTAAGTGGAAGCATATGGCATTTGTCTTTCTCTGTCTGACTTATTCCACTGAGCATAGCATCCTCTAGATCCATCCATCTGATTGAAAATGGCGAGACTTCATTCTTTTTTCAATCATGTTGACCTTTAATTCTTTCTCCCAGGCTCCAGCCCCCAAGTCTGCCTCTTCATCCTGTTGTCACCGGAAACACAGCCTTTCCTTCAGCTCTCAGTCCCCTGGCCTTGAGCCTCACAGCCCTCTAATCCATCTTCTAATTCATCCCCATATCACCTTTGCTATGAGGGTTTGCTAAAATGTAAACTTGTTCTCTTGCTATAAATCCTTTGTTGACCATGCATTACCTGCTGCTGTCCTTTCTCTGCCTTAAGTCTGGGGTTAGTTCTCCTTTGTGATATTGTTTCCTAGTTTGAAAATATCTTCAGCTATTCAAAGGATGAATGCCATATAGGGTTGAGTATCTACTTTCTCATAACACAGACACAAATGGAAAGAAGGCATCTGTGAAAGGTGGTAAGAAATGCTCACCAACAGTGAGAGTGTATGGCATTCACCACAGAGTTTGGCAATAGCTCTGAGGGTGGAACGAATATATTCTGCATAAATGCAGCATAGGTAGCGATCACGTTCAACCCGGGTGATCAGGATCCTGAGGAGCTGGTGTTGGGCTGGGCTCTGTTGATTATGCAAACCAATGTGTAGGAAGTTGGCCAAATGTTGTGAGTGGTTGTATCTGAGCAATTAGGACAAGAGAAAAGTCAGTTTCCAGCCTCTGTTATCAAACAATTAGAGAGTGATGGTGATGTTTACAGAAAGGGGGAAGACTTTGATTACACTAAGGTGAGGTAAGGTGCTAGATATTATCAAGACGGTAATGATCTTCACATGGATGTAACTATCAGTCAGGATAATTGGACAAGTGTCCCAGACTAGTGATAGTAATAGAAGTCATCTGCATAGAGGCATGGATAACCCACATCCTAAGTGTTATGCATTGCAAAAAGAGGGCCAGGAGCACCAATGTGGTATGTAATTAAGGCCAGGGGGTGACCAAGCCTCTCTAAGTCTTAGTTTTCTCATCTGTGAAACCGAGACTCTTACAGCAACCTTATTGAATTACACATGAATCAAATGAAGTTAATGTATACTAATTGCTTAGAACAGTGCCTGGCACATAGTATATGCTCAACTAGTGTCAGCTCTCATGATCATGATCATGATCATCATCATCATCATCATCATCATCTGATCATGATCATTATTATTGCTATGATAATGTCAAATTCTTGAAAGTGCCCCCTTCCAAGCATGTGGAACCTCTTCTACCTATTGCAGGTGTTCGGAGTTTGCTTACAGAATCTGACAGGTGCACCAGGCTCCTGAGCCCACACTCCTGAACCAACACAGCACAGAAGGTGGGCCAAGCCCTATAACTGCACTCACCAGGCACAGCCAGGCACAACCAGGATCTCTTCAGCTCCCACTGCACCTACTGACCAATAACCCATTGACTAGGCTCCTTAACATTCAAGTCTAATCACTGATAAAACTGTAAAAAGCAGCCGGCCCACTCCACATTGACTCTGTGTCCGGTGGATGTCACCTGCTTCCTGGACGTCCTGGAGTCCCATCAGCCATGAGTCACAGGTCTGAGGGCACCGTCTGACGCCTTGCATTTGCATGGGAGTGTCACCAAGGAGGATCAGATGCCAGCCCATCCAATACATCACCTGCATTCTCTTTCTCTGATGGAGGAAGATGAGACACCATATTGAGTCATGAAACGGGCAGTTTTCAGACAATGACAATGTCTAAACCGCGTTTCGCCCAAGTTACAGGGCCCCGTGATGGCCGAGAGACATAAGGTCAGTAACCCGGGAAGGCAGCCATTTTTCCTCCCTTTCTTCATCACCTGAAAGCTGGCCCTGTCTTATCTCAGTTTCAGGGGTACCTGTGCAGCCTCGGGGGTGACCCAGCCCGAGGTCTGAATATGCCTTACCAAGGCTGGGCTGATGTGGTTCCCAGGGGGGCCTCAGACACCCCAGGACTTTAGGAGAAAGGCAGATGCGTGGAAGACCATGGTGGGGACCAGTCAGTGCCCTCGACGTGCCCTAGGATGGCTTCACAGAGGAGGTGGGTCCTTCCCACCTGTGCCTGCAACTCGATGGGAGCCAACCCTGGACCAGTTTCAGGAGCCAGACGGCCTCAGGACAGCAGGAGACTCCTATCCGACTCCGTTTCCCCCTCTAAGTTTGTAATGAGCCTCCGGCTTAGTGGGTGTGGCCTGTGTGGTAAGAGGCTTTGGCATGAAGGACTGGGAACTAGTCATGTTGTCATCACTGTGATATTACAGGAATTGCAGCCATGGCTCACGCTCCCCATGCTGTGGACCAGGACCTTATAAAGTCCACAGGCACAGCTTCCCGGCCAGTCTCCCGCGCTGTGAGGCCGTCAGCATGAGGATCTATTACCTGGTCTTTGGGTTGCTGCTCCTGTGCCTGGTGCCTGCTCCAGGTAAGCTGGGCTGGGGCACGAGGGAGGCGAGGGTGGAGGGCATGCTCATCAGAGCCGGTCCCTCCTCATTCCTCAGGACGCTGTAGATTGGGGAGATGTGTTGCACCAATTTTTGTTCCTGATAAGCATCAAGAACCTGAAAGCAGGTTCCCCAACCTTTTTTGATCCACTCTTTTTATTTCTGTGTTTTGGGGTTGTTGTTTTTTTCTCCAATGTTATTTTGTATTGGTTTTAGGTGCACAAGACAATCATATTCTGAACACAGTAATCTCCTTGACATTTCCAGTTCCCCAGCTGGCACTATACATACTCGTCTCAATTATTATTGATGTTATTTCCTAGGCTTTGCTTGCTTCCTCGTGACTGCTTTGTGTCACCAATTTGTGCTTCTCAGTCTCTTCTCCACTTATACCAGCCCCCAAACCCGCCCCTCTTAACAGACTAAGTAGCTCCCAACAGGCATCCTTTTAAGACTGTTATCCTTGTTAATGAGACATGAAGGAATTGACACAGACATTTTAGAACCAACAGAAAAAGTTGATTTAATCTGAGAACAGAAGCACAGACTTGCATTGTATTAGCTTGGTGGTGGGAGGGAGGGTCTTTGGGCCATTGCTCACCTTCCATGTGTCCCCCACGGGTGCTCCCTGTGGTCACATTTGCCAGCGCCACGTGGTCCACAGCTGAGCTGCAGCTCTTAGATACTTGGTTGACTGGATGGCTGGTGCCGCCTTCTACTTCACTCCTGATTTCATAGAACAAGAAATAAAGATATAAAAACAAATCAGTCTACTTGAGGAATCCCTACAACCTTGCGTTTATACCCAGCCTTCATAGAACCTTCCCATGTATTCTGCTCTCTCCTTGCAGGCAATGGAGGGATCATAAGCACAGTGCAGAGGTACTTTTGCAAAGTGAGGAGTGGCCGCTGCGCCTTGGTGAGCTGCCTCCCTAAGGAGGAGCACATAGGCAGCTGCTCACTCACTGGCCGGAAGTGCTGCCGGAGGAGGAAGTGACGGTCCTGAAATGTGGAGAATGTTGTCACGTGTGAAGATGCCTGCATGGAGTTTATGAAAGCAAAATTACAGTAAATATTTTTTCCAAAAAAATCAGAAGTTTGATTGTGTTTATAAAATCCCAGTCTTTGTGGCTGTGGCTCCTTAGAAAGTGTTACTGATTCTCCTTTCATGCAAGTCACATCTAACCTCAGGGGAACCACAGGGGACCTGAGCTGAGTTTCCAAGGGTTAGTCCTCTTTTGACGATTTTATGCCCCAGGAAATGGGACTCTGTTTCTCTACTCGACACAGCTCCTCCCCATGTAATCCATCTCTAGGATGTCAGTGCATCCTTGGGGGCCATCTGAGTCCTTGTGAACACCTGACACCTTAGAGAAACAGGGACCTGGCTCTCCCTCAGATGCTCCTGTTTTCCTCTCAGCCATGCCTCTGCTCCAGCTGACCTCACACCTGACGTATAAGCTCTCTCCTAGCTTTTCCTCTAAGTTTCAGCCTTTCCCTCGGGAGCCACCTCAAATTCTACCTCCTTCTTTACAATGCAGCTCATTTCCCACACAAATGGGATCCTTCCTGTGATTTCACCACAGGGTTCTCACTGCAGGGCTCTATCTATGAATCTTGACAGATTTTTTTGCATCATATATGTTTGCATGTTTTCAATCTTTAAGTTCGACACAATTGTTAAAGGAAAGAACCTTGTCTTTAAAAATTTTTATATGTTTTTATGATTTTAGAGAGAGAGGAAGGGAGAAGTAGAGAGAGAGAGAGAAACATCAATGTGAGAGAGAAACATCGACCAGTTGCCTCCAGAATGCACTCGAACCCACAACCTAGGTTTATGCCCTGAAGGGAATCAAACTGGCCATGGTGCATGAGACAATACCAACCCATTGAGCCACACTGACCAGGGCCAAAACCTTGTCTTCATCAGCTCAGCCTGCCTAGTAAAGGGCCTTGCACCACAGAAGGATTACCTGCAATGGGAACTTCCTTCCACAGTTCGCAACTGGAGAACCAGGCACAGGTGTGACACAGGTGTTTCAGGCAGTAGACAACAAGCAGTGCAGGGCTGTGATTGAGGAGAGACCGACAAATGTCTCTAGTCTGCTGGGTGCCAGGCCCACAGACCAGCAATCCTCCAACAGCAAGAGACATCCCCGTTTCCAGGGCAGGAAACCAGAAAGGGCCCTCTTGGCGGGGGTGGAGCAGCAGGGGCCTGTGAATCTTGGCCTGAGCACTGATCTGAGCACGCTTAGGTAAAACTTCAGAAACCAGAGGAAAACACCCAGCAGGAGTTAGACAAACAAATCCAAGACCACACACAAGGCTGGCAAGAGTGAATCCCCACCAGCAAAGTGGAGACACCATGAGAAAGTCCTCAGAAAGAACTTGCATTCGTAGCAGGCTGTTGAGCTCTAAATTAAACTGTTCTGGAACTTCTACTTTTGTAAAACCATTCCTGAAAGAATCGAGCTGATCTGCAAACAACTTAAATGTGAGCCAGAATAAATCTAACATTCTTTGAAGGAAAACAACAAAGTCCATCACTCAACAAGATAAGCTTATAATAGACTGAATCCAATCAGAAATACCAGGTTTACAACAAAACAGGACAATATGGTCTATAATCAAGAGAAAAGTCAGTCAGTACAAACAGACCCACCTGCCCCCTTGACAAAGATGATAGGATTAGCAATAGGGGCTTATATGCATGGTTACAAATCTTATAAATGTCTGAAAAGTTTAGGTAAACAAAACAAAACACCTCATCATGATGAGGAGAGAAAGGAAAGCCATATAGAACCAAAACTAAATACCTGAGTAAAAATATACTAAATTGGATTAATGGCATATGACATTATGGAAGAAAAGATAAGACTGAGCCTATGTTAATACAAACAAATCTACACTAATAAAAGAGAAACGTGCAAATTGGTGTCACTCTGCCACACCCACCAGCCAATCAGATGAGTATTCAAATTAACCCAACAAAGACGGCGGCTAATTTGCATTCGCAGGCCCAGAGCGAAGACTGAAGACAACTAGAAGGAAGCCAGGCACTGCAGAAGGGAGTGAAGCAAGCGGGATGGTGGAGGCGGGAGCAAAACCCACCTTGGTGGGTTTCACTCCCTTCTTTGCTTTGCTCTGGCCCCAGGAAGCCCTATTCTTGCAGGAATCTTCCTGCAATGGGCCTCTAGTCCTATATAATAAAAAGAGAAACATGCAATTAACCATCCCTCTGCTATGCTCAAGCCACGCCCACCAGGCACACCCACCAGCCAATCAGGAGTGATTATGAAAATTAACCCAACTAAGATGGCCTTGGCCACAGAGCTGGAATGAGCAGGAGGCTTGGGTTGCCCCCAGTGATGGAGGAAGCCAAGCTTCCCCCCTGCCCTGGCCAGCCCTTGGCTCCACTCAAAGATACAAAGTTTCAATTTATTTATTGAAGATAAATAAATCCCAGAAAAAGTAAAAAGAAGAAGCTGGGAGCTTGGGTCGCCGGGGGTCATGGCCAGCCTGAAAACGGCCATCAGCCCCTCACCCAGGCTGGCCAGGCACCCCAGCGGGGACTCCCACCCTGAAGGTAGTGTAGCCAGTCTGAAAACGACCCTCAGCCCCTCACACAGGCTGGCCAGGCACCCCAGGGGAGACCCCCACCCTGATCCAAAACACCCACAGGGCAAACTAGCTGGCCTCCACCCATGCACCAAGCCTCTATCCTATATAATAAAAGGGTAATATTCAAATTGACCCTAAAAGCAGAATAACTGGGAATGACTGGTCACTATGACACATACTGACCACCAGGGGGCAAACGCTCAATGCAGTAGCTGCCCCCTGGTGGTCAGTGCGCTCCCATAGGTGGTGCTCTGCTCAGCCACAAGCCAGGCTGATGGCTGCCAGCATAGCGGTGGTGGTGGGAGCCTCTCCTGCCTCCTCAGCAACACTAAGGATGTCCAACTGCAGCTTAGGCCTGCTCCCTGCTGGCAAGTGGACATCCCCTGAGGGCTCCCAGGCTGCCAGAGGGATGTCTGACTGCCATCTTAGGCCCAATCCCCCGGGAAGTGAGCCTAAGCCAGCAGGTGGACATCTCCTGAGGGGTTCCAGGCTGTGAGAGGGCACAGGCTGGGCTGGGGAATCCTCTCCCCCCCCCCCCCGAGTGCACAAATTTTTGTGCACTGGGCCTCTAGTGCATAAATAAGGCAGAGAGAGAGAGAGAGAGAGAGAGAGAGAGAGAGAGAGAGAGAGAGAGAACAGTTCATAGTGACCTGTGGGAAAATATCAAGCAGCCTGTATGTGTTTGGAGTCAGAAAAAGGATGGTGAGGGAGGATATAGTTGAGTAAAGAATGGTCTGCTATGTTCCAAATCTGATGAGACTATGAACGAAAACATTGCTGCTCAAGGAAATCATGCAGAATATACATAAAGAAAACGACACTAAGCACATCATAATCAAAGTAACTAGTGGGTCAAGAGAAAAATCTCAAAAAGTAGCCTGAGAGAAAGACACATTAAATTTAGAGGAACAAGAGAAGGAATTACAGCCAACTTTTCACCAGATTCTAAAAGAGCCAGAATAAAATGTGGCAATACCTACACGTACCAAAAGAAAAAGATCGTTGCTCTGGCCAGTGTGGCTTAGTTGATTGGAGTGTTGTCCCTGTACACCAGAAGGTCAGGGGTTCAAATCCCCATCAGAGCTCATACCTAGGTTGCAGGTTCCAATCCTGGTTTGGGTGCATGTGAGAGGCAAACCAGTTTCTCTCCCACATTGATGTTTTTCTCTCTCTCAAATCAAACATACCCTCAGGTGAGAATTTAAAAAAAATTTTTTTTTTAAAAGAAAGAAAAATATTGTCAACCTAGAATTCAATACTAGAAAAATGTATTTCAAACATAAAGGTAAAATGAACTCTGGGTGATGATGAAGTGTCAGTGTAGGTTTATTGGTTGCAGCAAGTATAACATTTGGTGGAAATGTTGATTATGGGGCAGAAGGTACACACGGGAAATCTCTGTATCTTCTCCTCAATTTTGTGTTAACCTAAAACTACTCTAAAAAACAAAGTCTATTCTTGAAGTAAGGTAAAAATTTTTTAAAATATATTTTTTATTAATTTCGGAGAGGAAGGTAGAGAGAGAGAGATAGACACATCAAGGATGAGAGAGAATCACTGATTGGCTGTATCTTGCGTGCCCCACACTGGGGATCAAGCCAGCAACCTGGGCATGTGCCCTGATTGGGACTGGAACTGTGACCTCGTGGTTCATAGGTCGATGCTCAACCACTGAGCCACGCCAGCTGGCAGTAAGGTAAAACTTTTTTTTTAAAATATATTTTATTGATTTTTCACAGAGAGGAAGGGAAAGAAACAGAGAGTTAGAAACATCGATGAGAGAGAAACATCGATCAGCCGCCTCCCGCACATCCCCCACTGGGGATGTGCCCGCAACCCAGGCACATGCCCTCGACCGGAATCGAACCCGGGACCCCTCAGTCCGCAGGCCGACGCTCTATCCACTGAGCCAAACCGGTTTCGGCAAGGTAAAACTTTTTAAACAACAAAAAGAAAGCTAAGAAAATTCCTCATCAGCAAAACCTGCACTATTTGAAAAAAAACCAAAACACACTCTTCAGGCAGAAGAAAAATGATGCCTGATGGGAATTTGGCTCTACGTGATGGAACGAATGTGGCTACTAAGATTCTAGACATTACCTTAAAGAGAGAACCTTTCAATTCAGAGAACAATGAGACTCAGATGCACATTGTTTATTTAAAAATAAAACACCATTTGAGATATCAAACATAAAGAACTCCCCCTGAGATGACCACCGCCATCCCCACACCCAGAGGCACCTTGCTTTCTGAAAGCACTTCCCTGCCAGGTGTCACCAGGATCTGTCGACCAGGCATTTAAATGACAGAGGGGCATGGCCAGATTCTACTCCTTCCTCCCAAGTCCCCTTAGCGCACTCATCAGAAATGACCCTGGCCCTGGCCGATGTTGCTCAGTGGATAGAGCATCGGCCTGTGGACAGAAGGGTCCCGGGTTTGATTCTGGTCAAGGGCATGTACCTTGGTTGCAGGTTCCTCCCCAGCCTGGGCCCTGGTTAAGGCATGTGCAGGGGCAACCAATCCATGTGTTTCTTTCACATTGATGTTTCTCTCTGTCTCTTCCCATCTCTTCCACTCTCTAATAATCAATGAAAAAATATCCTCAGGAGAGGATAAAAATAAAGAAAGAGAAGAAGAAGGAAAGAAAGAAAAAGAAAGAAAGAAAGAAAGAAAGAAAGAAAGAAAGAAAGAAAGAAAGAAAGAAAGAAAGAAAGAAAGAAGAAAGAAAGAAAGAAAGAAAGAAAGAAAGAAAGAAAGAAAGAAAGAAAGAAAGAAAGAAAGAAAGAAAGAAAGGAAGAAAGAAAAGAATAAATTCATAAATGGAAAAAAAACACCCTGGATTAGGGAGTGTTGCCAACCAAATCGATAAGCAACACTTGAGCGTATTCTCTGCAGGAGATTATAATGTAGGTAAACATGTCTATTGCTCTTGAATATCATTGGACTAAAGAGGAAGGACTCATCATGAATGCACTTTCTTTTGCCTCCGAAAAAGCTACCCTCTGAGCGTGGGGCGCTGGGCTCGGTCCAGTCTCAGGGCCACCATTGCCTTCGCTGGGTCTCAGAGCAAGGGTGAGGTTGTGGGAGACAGCGGCAGATCTCACAGAGCCCGGGATCCTGGGTGTCTTCAGAATGGGGTCCCACCAACGACGGGGAGGGCCTGGGGCAGCTGCTGTTCCCACAGGGCATCCCCCAGGATCCCCAGTCTCAGAGCCATGAGAGCTCAGCTTGGACGGGTCTGAGAAGAGCACAAACCATGGGCTCTCGGGCACTGATACAGGAGGGCTGGATGTGGCTGAGTGTCCCAGTGACCCCAAGGCCGTCCTTGCTTTGTGACATGGAGACTGAGGAGCTGGGTCTGTCCCCATTGCATCCCCCTTCCTTTCCCTGAGGAAGAGACACAGGACCTACCTGCCCCCTCACCTGTCACAGGGGCAATGCTAAGCTTTAGGAGCTTGCCCCTGAATGTCACCCTCCATGGGCACCCAGGGAGGCTCTGGTCCCCGCGTCTCCTGTCCCTCCTAGCGACACCGGCCTGGTTCCTGGTGTGGCCTGAGACTGTCCGCAGACACTCAGCAAATGCCAGAAAGGCAGATTCCAAGGCCCCAGGAGGGCAGTTGAGCTCCAGGAAGCCGCTTGGCCTCATCCAGCAAGATAGAAAGACAGGTCCCCTGGGGTTTTCCCGTCTGGACTCGCATGAAATGATGGGTGTGCCCTGGGCTCCAAGGCCCTTCTTGTGACACACAGGACAGGTGAGAGGAACAATTTAATTGCTCTGGGTTCCCAAGGCTGCGGCCAACCCGGTCACTTTATAAGGAGCGAAGCACGGCTCCCTCAGTCAGCGGCTCAGCTCCTGGCTCACCATGAGGCTCCAACTTCTCCTGCTTGCGTTCCTCTTCGTGTTCCTGTTGCCTGTCCCAGGTAAGAGGGGCGGACAGAAGGACATCACGGGACTTCTCTCTCTGTGTCCCCTCCCTCTCTCCCTCTCCATCTCCGTCTCCCTCTCTCTACTCCTTCTACAGACACTTTCGATCAAAGAGACTGAATGGTCGGTATTTTGTGGAAGAGACACACTCAAGGGGCCAAAGAGCAGCATGTGGCTCGCAAGCCGCCGTTTGCCGAGCCGCAGGTTTCCAACCACTTCCCTAGCCAGTTACCCAGTGGTTAGAGAATTGGGCCTTTAACTGAAGGGTTGCAGGTTCAATTCCCAGTCAGGGCCACATACCTTGATTGCAGGCTTGATCGCTGGCCCGGGACAGGGCGCGTGCAAGAGGTAACCAATCGATGTATCTCTCTCACATTGATCTCCCCCTCTCTCTTTCTCCCTCTCTCTCCTCCCCACTCCTCCCTCCCTTCCACTCTTTCTTTAAAAAAAAAATTTGATTTGGTTCCAGCCCAGAAGTGCAGAGTATCACAGTACAGATCTTTATACTAAAGTGAGGAGTCCTTGGTAACCCAGAGAATAGCAAGGCCCAGCCTCGACTGGGGAGCCACTGTTTGGGGCACCTCTGCGCCCCGCCTTCCCAGCTCAAAGGTCCTTCAACACACTCCTGCCATGGCTGCTCTTGGCTCAGGGCCAGGCAGCCCATGCACAGTGGCTCTGAAACCTGGATGCCAGCATTGTCCTTGCTCTTTTGTGTTAGGGAAACAGACCAAAAGGAGAGGAGGGAGGGAGAAGCGGGAGGCAAGGAGTAGACCTTAAATTATGTTGGAAAGCTCTTGTTTTATCTGTCTTCTTCTTGGCTGTATTCCAAGACAAGCCTTACCAGGGAGGGAGGTGGAGGGGACATGGCCTAGGATGTGGGAGGAGCAGGAAGATGAGAGGGAAGGTGGGAAGGACTGAAAGAAGCCTCCCGGGAGGGCCAGGGCCTGTGAGAACCGGACCAGCAGAGAGTTCTCAGAGATTAGAGACACCATCACGAAAGTTTTCTTTCCACATGTTTTATTGATTTCAGAGAGGAAGGGAGGAGAGAGAGAGACATCAATGATGAGAGAGAATCATGGATCAGGTGCCTCCTGCATGCCCCCCACTGGGCATGTGCACTTGACAGATTCAAACCTGGAACCCTTCAGTCCACATGCCCACACTCTATCCACTGAGCCAAACTGGCTAGAGCACGAAAGAGGTTTTTAAAACTATCCTTATTTTCCATTGTGAGTTACTTAGATATTAAGTTCTCCTTAACCAATCCTTGCACCAGAAGAGGCATCTCAGCTCAAATATTTCACTGAGGAAATGATGGAGAATACGAAGACATAAACACTGACCCCTGCTGGCTGTGTCCAATCCTTAAAGCACTGGCCCGGTGTCACCTTGACTTCCTGGTGACTATCTCTTTTGGAGGAATGGAAATGGTACAGACTCTTGTCCACCTGTCCTGTCCCACAGCCACCGCTCAGAGCCTGTCCCGCACTGGTTCTGGAAACACAAGAATCCTCTCCAACCTCAGCAGTTCTGGTCTCTGTCGGAAAACTGGACCCTAGCATCACAGCCTCACCTCTTTTCACCTTGATGGCGTAACCCCCGCCAGAGGTTTCACTCCAGGAAACTCTGACACAGATGGCCTCTCTGGAATGGGGCTTTGATGTCTGACTCTCTTACTTTTTTTATTTTCATTTTAGGTTTTGCTCGGTTTAGAGTTACTACTTGCAATGATAAAGGTGGAATCTGCAGGGCATTTCGTTGCTCTGGAGGTAGAAAACCAATAGGCAACTACTGTCACTTGCCAGGAATCAAATGCTGCAGAATATAGCAATTGGAGATAAAGAGGATGCTGTCACTGATGATGCATCGAAGTGTGTCCTTCACAAAGATGTGACATTTAAATAAAATTAAATCACATTAGACTCAGAATCTCGACCTCTTGTCCTGCTGGTTACTGCAAGGTGCTTGGTCACACAGGCCCATCTCTGAAATCCTGGAGGGCCCATTCAGGCTCTTCTTCAGACCTTCAGGGACCCTGTTGGGGGACCCATTGTGCTTTTCAGGTTTTTGGTGCCCTTAGAGTCACCTGAGCTCCTCAGTCCTCCCTGTGCTTTGCTAAGAGGTGCACTCTGCTGTTGCTTCTCCCATCCTGCATGCCCTCACCTGCCCCACGGCACTCCCAACACCAGCCTCCCTCCCCCAGTGCCCACCAGAGCACCTCCTCCTCGGGACACCACTCCTGATCCCCACAGGAATTGGCCCCTCCCTCCTCCACGCTGTCCCAGTGCTCACTTCCTTTTGGTCCATGCCTCTCACTCACTCGTGTGGGTCACGTTCTAATTCTCCACGTGGCTACAAAACCTCCACAGGGAGAGGACTTTGTCTAAGTCACTTACAAACAGTCTTTGAGGGGAAGCACTGCCTCATGCATTGTTATCAGTTGAGTGGCAACACGGAGTTGGACCAAGTGTTGCTCTCCAGGTGGACAGGATGGGAGTCAAGAAAACAGTCCTCGTTGAAAGTCCAAGGAAGTGCACTCTGATTTCTAATTTTATTTTTGGGCACTCCTGCACAGCATCCATCCGCCCTTAATAATCAGGTTCTCACAAATTCTCATTTCACTCAAAGGCTCTGTGGTGATCAGCCTTGGGAACTGGGGGAGCCTCTGTCGTGCTTGATGCAAAACTATGGAAAGGAGGGTGGGTGCCAGCAGGAAATGGGTGGGAATCTCTGAGAAGGTCATGGAGAGATGCTCTCCCCACCAGTCACCAGAAGAGGGTGTCTTTTCTATGTGAATCATGAACAAATGGGCTCATGCTTGGGCCCAAGGCCAACCTTTCATTGAGTCCTGGATCCCTTCTTTTGCTGATGGATGGATGAGACTCACCTGCTCTCTGTAAAAACTAAACACACCTCTTCCTTGACTATCATTCACCAGATATTGCTTCTTATCTTTGCCTAGTTTTTTAGCCAACCTTTTGGGAGAAACAAAGATGGCAGCATAGGTAAACACCAGAGATTGCTGCCTCACACAACCACTTCCAAAATACAACTAAAAGACGGAATAGACATCATCCAGAACCACAGGAAGGCTGGCTGAGTGGAAATTCTACAACTAGAAGGAAAGAGAAAAGCATACCGAGACTCAGAGGAGGTACAGTGCGAAAGTAAAATACAAAGGTACGGAGGTGGACGCGAACAGGGCTGGCAGCTGAGGACACGGTTGTCTTTTTCAATAGGGAGGGTATCTCAAGCTCCCAACTGCTCTCCACTCCAGTTCCGTGTGAGTCTCTGGAGACCCAGACTCATACGGGAGAAATGGGACTGTCTGGCATCGGTCGGAACCTGAGGGCAGCTTTCTCTCAGAGGTGCTTGCAGCGTTTGCTGGGACACTGAGAAGCAGGGCTTCTGAGGGCAGCCATAACTTCTAGCTCCACCCCTGTTGAACCCATGGGACCCCGCCCCACCCAAGCATGCACGGAGGCTTTTGCATATGAAAGGCCTGGCCCATTTGCAATCTGAAAATTATCTAACAAACTGCAGTGGGCCCAAGGCCCCAGGGCAACTTGCATTGCTTCACAACTGGCTTCTGCTGGGTCACCTCAGGCAGAGGCTAGATTAGCGCCTCCTTAGACATCCAGGAGCCAGTGTGCCCGGTGGTCAGAGTGGGACCATCCAGACTGCAGCTCCTCCAATCCATAAAGGACACATTCAGGGGGCAGACTCAGTGAGCACCAAAGCCCCACTGGAGCAAGTCTTGCCCCGGAGGGGTGTCTTCAGCACAGAAGTTCTCCCACTGCAGGCACAGCTGATTCTCACAGCCAATTGGTCTGGAGGTCATTCCCTCCCAGTGTTACCTACAACAATCAAGGCTTAACTACAACAAGACTGTGCACAAAGCCCACAAGGGGGTGCACCAAGAGTGTCCTCCTCAGGTAATTGGGGAGGGTGAGCCACTGGGCCCTATAGGACATCTAGCACAGAAAGCCACTCTATCAACACAGGGAAGCATAAAATATGTGGAGACAAAGAAACAGGACACAAATGACAGAAATGGAGGACAGCAAACTATTGGATATAGAGTTCAAAACCACACTTTTAAGGTTTTTCAAGAACTTTCCAGAAACTTCCGACAAATTTAGTAAGACCCTCAAAAAGACGGGTGAGACCACCGATAAATGTAGTGAGAGCCTCAAGAAATCTAGTGAGACCATCGAGGGCATGAAAAAGGACCAACTAGAAATTAAGCATACACTGACTGAAATAAAGGATATTATGCAGAGTACCAACAGCAGACTAGAGGATCGCAAGAATCAAGTCAAAGATTTGAAATACGAAGAAGCAAAAAACACCCAAATGGAAAAGCATAACGAAAAAAGAATCCAAAAATATGAAGATAGTGTAAGGAGCCTCTGGGACAGCTTCAACCGTACCAACATCCTAATTATAGGGGTGCCAGAAGAAGAGAGAGAGCAAGATATTGAAAACCTATTTGAAGAAATAATGACAGAAAACTTCCCCCACCTGGTGACAGAAATAGACTTATAAGTCCAGGAAGCACAGAGAACCCCAAACAAAAGGAATCCAAAGAGGACCACACCAAGACACATCATAATTAAAATGCCAAGAGCAGAAGACAAAGAGAGAATCTTAAAAGCAGCAAGAGAAAGAAAGTCAGTTACCTACAAGAGAGTACCTATACGAATGTCAGCTGATTTCTCAACAGAAACTTTGCAGGCCAGAAGGGAGTGGCAAGAAATATTCAAAGTGATGAATGTCAAGAACCTACAACCAAGATTACTTTATCCAGCAAAGCTATCATTCGAAATTGAAGGTCAGATAAAGAGCTTCACAGATACGGAAAAGCTAAAGGAGTTCATCACCACCAAACCAGTACTATATGAAATGCTGAAAGGTATCCTTTAAGAAGAGGAAGAATAAGAAAAAGGTAAAGATACAAATTATGAACAACAAATTCACATCTATCAACCAGTGAATCTAAGAATCAGTGAATAAATAATCTGATGAACAGAATAAACTGGTGATTATAATAGAATCAGGGGCATAGAAAGGGAGTGGACTAACTATTGTTGGGGGGAAAGGGGTGGGGGGAATGTGGGAAGAGACTGGACAAAAATCGTGCACCTATGGATGAGGACAGTGGGCGGCGGGGGGCGGGGGGGGGTGGGGGGGGGAGGGATGAGGGCAGAGCCGGTGGTGGGAACCGGGTGGAGAGGACCTATAGGGGGAAAAAAGAAAAACAACTGTGATAATATGAACAATAAAGATTTAATTATTTTTTTTAAAAAAATACCTTTTGGAAGGAGTGTCTGCACCATTCCCACCTCCCCTCATCCAGCTCCTAGGGGTTTGATGCCACTCAAGTCTGACTGGTTCCCACCTCTCCACCAACAGGACCCCTGTCCATATGAGATCATAATGCACCTGCATGACCTCACTCAGCCCTTCATCTGCCCATTGTTGATCTGACCTGGCCCCTAATTGTGAGGCCTTGGGCAGCTGCCTTAGGGGTCCCTGCCAGATGGACAGGCAGCAGTCCACCTGAGAAGAGTGAAGGAACCCATTGCAAGGTAGGTTTTTAGGAGAACCAAACATGGTAGAAAAAGGGGTGGGACTATATGCCTAACATCTAGGGAGTCAATAAAAGTGCTTTCAGTATACCAGCATAGGGGATGAGAATGTGGACAAAAGCTTTCACTCTATACTTTACTATTATTATTATTATTATTATTATTATTATTACTATTACTATTACTATTATTTAAGCATTGTTGTTGTGGTCAAGAAAGTAAAAGCCTCACAGCTACAATGTAGAAGTAAATAGATTACTACACTTAGTCCATTTTTAGGTGAACATCACTAAACTACACTAGGTCTCTATTTAGTGAAAAATTCAGATGCTGATGCAAAGTTTAAGAAGCTTCCTTTAACCTTTGCTCCAGCAAAAGAGAATGGGAGAAATTATATAAACTTATGCATCCATAGTCCCATATAATAAGTGAAGTTTAGTGGGAATTGGGTGTACTTACTACAATTCTAGGTTCTTCTTTAGACCATTTATTCCTTCCATCCCAGAAACGACCAAAGTTGTACTACCAGCTTCTAATTTCATGGGCTCAAATAAGGCACAATTTGGTCAAATTTTAGTTTTAAATTGCAGTGTTTTTCTGCAGTATTCCAGCTCTTGATGGGAGAAGCTAACAGCTGTGTGATCTCTGGGACCCGGAAGTCGCCTAAGAAGCCCTTCTTACATTGGGTTGATCCCCTGGGAGAAATGTCAGCTAGACCACAACCCTGCCTGCAGAGGGACTGGCCAGCCACTGACTCCCCTGACGTCCCTGATTCTGAGACACGACTCAGGAGAATGGTACTGTATCGTCATCAAATGTACAGGGAGAACCAGAGCTTTAAAAGGTTATTTCAAGATCACTCAGCTCATATGTGGCAGATCAAGGACTTTGATCCGAGGTCTATCTGATCCCAAAGCTCTTTAACTATTAAGTGAAATTCCTTTTGTTTTTATTCCTGAAAAGATCACTGCTGACTTTATGGCTCAGATGATTTCTTTGATGTCTGCATCTTAATCATAATATACCTTTCTACTCCCCAATATTAGTGGCAATTGTTCGATAAGTAAGGAACTCGAGTTCCCTGTGTCCCCTCTTTTCCTTCTTTCCTTCTTTATCACTCTTTTTAAAAATATACTTTTATTGATTTCAGAGGGAAAGGGAGAAAGACATAGAGATATAAACAGCAACGATGAGAAAGAATCATTGATTGGCTGCCTCCTGTAGCCCCTCTACTGGGGATCAAGCCCACAACCAGGGCATGTGCCCTTGACTGGAATCGAACCTGGGACCCTTCAGTCTACAGGTCTATCCAGTGAGCCAAACCAGTTAGGGTCTTCCTTCCTTCTCTTTTTACCCTCCCTCATTTAGTTCCTCCATGCATCCATTTTTCATTCACCCATTATTTGGTTCCTCTATACTAGCTCTCAGTCATTTAAACATATTTGACTACCTTCTCTATGCCAGCCCACTGTTCAAAGTGCTGAGAATATGAGATAATAATAGGACATGTTACTTTAGTAATTCATGGCATGGTAAAACCTAGAGTCATGAGCAATATGAAGTTAAACTGAGATGGAGAGAGGAAAGAGCTGGAGAAGAATTTCAATATGTCCCTTTGTATTCTTCTGGCTTTACCACAATAATGCATTGATGTAAAACCTTTATTAAGAAATACTCTGGCCCAACTGGCATGGCTCAGTGGTTGCGTGTTGAACTATGAACCAGGAGGTCATGGGTCCATTCCTAGTCAGGGCACATGCCCCCGTTGTGAGCTTGATGACCAGTAATGGGGTGTGCAGGAGGCAGCAGGTCAATGATTCTTTCTCATCATTGATGCTTCTTTCTCTCTCTCCCTCTCCCTCCATCTCTCTGAAATCAATAAAAATGTATTTTTTAAAATCGCCTAAAGTTAAGTGCCATTGAGCCCTCGCCACCGGTATGGCATCATGCCAGGTGGCCTGGTTGATCACTTCATCCTCAAAACCATCGTATAAGGAGACTGCTCTATGGTCGAAGCCATAGGACCGAGGGTGGTCCCACACGTGGGATTCAAACTCATGTGAGTCCCACCTATGCGCACAGCACCTGCCCCTTCGCTTCATGCAGCCTGGATCCAGCAACGGAAATATCTCAAGGAGCTTGAGAACATGACACAGAAAATAAAAAAGAAAATGTGCACTAAGATTTTGGATTCCTAGGTTCTGGCTCTTCCCCTGACTTACAAGTCACACCACCTGTCTGGGCCTCAGATCCCTCCTCAGCAACATCCCAAGTCCCCTACTCAGTTCCTAGCCCTCTGACTCCAGGTGCTGCTGAGAGGGTGCAGGTGCCAGAGGGCAGACGAGTGAAAGAGGGTGAGAATGAGGTGCTGGCCTCAGTGTAATGGGATGTTTTGCCTAACACTGTAGGGACTCAACACAGCCAGGCTTGACCTCCAGCTAGTCCCAAACCCTGCCCAGTCTGCACTCACCTCCTCTCCCTCCTGTAGGCAGCAGGCTGTTCTCTCAGCTGATTCTTCATTCTCGGGTCGTTGTTCCTGAAGGTGAGGCCAGTGGCCTGCTGGTGTTCTGCTCACGCTGCAGCAAGCAAACCAGAGAAGCCACTGAGTGGGCGATTCCCAGCTGAGCTGCACGGTCCTGGCAGCCACCCAGGGATAAGAACAGCCACCCCATCGGCGCTGGTGCAGTGGGTTTGGCTAGCAGCAAACGTCTTCAGGGACAGAAGCCCAGAGATGCTGGAGGTCAGCACCATCCGGCTCCTCAGGAAGGTGACCGGGAAGTGACTCTCCCACCAAAAGCTCGGCGGGTGCACAGGTGTCTCAGGGAATCTGGTGCTGCCTTAGTGAGCACCCAGGCCGGGGACTCTTTGTGTCAGCAGGAGAGACTGAGACCATGAGAGCTGGAATACATGGAAAAGAGGGGAAGACATTTGGAAGTATGATTAAAAAGTGCTCACAAAAGGAACGTTCACAAAACTCCCTCGCTACACATTTTTGTCTCTTATTTTCTAATTTTTCTTCTCATTCTTCATCAAAACTCCAGGAAAGAGTGTCATTATTAGGCGAGTCCCCCTTAAGTACTTCCCCACACAATGAAAACACACGTCACATGGGGGCAGCAGGTGAACTCACACAGGCTCAAAGCCCGGGGGTTAGCACTGTGGGTTCTGAACCCCCAGGCTGCCTATAACTGGCCATGTGGCCGCACACAAGTTCTTCAACCACCCCGTGCTTCACCACCTTCACTTGTAAAATACATGACAGAACCTACTTCACCAGGTCGATGGAACAAGTAGGGGGGTTAAGGCCATTGATACATGCTGGGAAAAGCAGGTGCTTAAAAACATTAATTCTCCTGATGGCAGTGGGCATGGAGGCTGGGCTGGGAGGCTGGAACGTGCATGGGAATGGAGGCCAGTTCTAGGATGTTTTATGCAAATGCTGTGCCCTCTGTGCCACCATGCTCTTGATTCATGTCCACATCAAAGACATCTGACAAGGAACTTCATATTAATCCCAGCTTCCTCACTCTGACAAGACATTAGGGTCTTAGAGTCCCTCTTTCTTGGGGCTACACCCGGACACAGTTTTGCAAGCCATGTGCTGTGTGCTTTTGAATGAAGAGGAGGATGCAGCCCACTATGCACAACGGGGCTGTAGACACACGCCATTGGGGTGCAAGGTACAGCTGTTGAGAATGAGGGTCCATCCTGCAGGTTGGGGGCATCACTCCCTTTGGGAGAGCTTGTCAGGATCTGGTGGGTAGGCTCCTGCGGGGACAGTGACTCAGCTCAGCTGGAGTGAGGGCAATGGGACATGAGGGAAGGAGTTGGTCAGAGCCAAGCCCAAGGACAGATTTATTTGTAAACTATATAAAAATGCAAAGTATCTGTGTAGATGAGAGAGCAGGGCCCAACACCCGAGGGCCTTTGAATGTTGGCCTGGGCACTGATCTGAGTACGCTTAGGTAAAACTTCAGATACCAGAGGAAAACACCCAGCAGGAGTTAGACAAACAAATCCAAGACCACACACAAGGCTGGCGAGAGTGAATCCCCACCAGCAAAGTGGAGACCTTACAAGAAAGTCCTCAGAAAGGACTTACATTCATAGCAGGCTGTTGAGCTCTAAATTAAACTGTTCTGGGACTGCTCTGACAGTTTTTTTTTTTTTACTTTTTGTAAAACCATTCCTGAAAGGATTGAGCTGATCTGCAAACAACTTAAATGTGAGCCAGAATAAATCTAACATTCTTTGAGGGAAAACAACAAAGACCATCATTCAACAAGATAAGCTTATAATAGACTGAATCCAATCAGAAATACCAGGTTTGCAACAAAACAGTACAATATAGTCTATAATCAAGAGAAAAGTCAGTCAGTACAAACAGACCCACCTGCCCCCTTGACAAAGATGATAGGATTAGCAATAGGGGCTTATATGCATGGTTACAAATCTTATAAATGTCTGAAAAGTTTAGGTAAACAAAACAAAACACCTCATCATGATGAGGAGAGAAAGGAAAGCCATATAGAACCAAAACTAAATACCTGAGTAAAAATATACTGAATTGGATTAATGGCATATGACATTATGGAGGAAAAGATAAGTAAGACTGAGCCTATGTTAATACAAACAAATCTACACTAATAAAAGAGAAACGTGCAAATTGGTGTCACTCTGCCACACCCACCAGCCAATCAGATGAGTATTCAAATTAACCCAACAAATATGGCAGCTAATTTGCATTCGCAGGCGCAGAGCGAAGACTGAAGACAACTAGAAGGAAGACAAGCGCTGCAGAAGGAAGTGAAGCTGTGGAGTAGCAAGCAGGGTGGTGAAGATGAGAAGGAAGCAAGAGGGGTGGCAGAGACGGGAGGGAAGCAAGCAGGATGGCAGAGGCAGGAGCAAAGCCTGCCTTGGCGGGTTTCGCTCCCTTCTTTGCTTTGCTCCCACCGCAGGAAGCCCTATTCTTGCAGGAATCTTCCTGCAATGGGCTTCTAGTCCTGTATAATAAAAAGAGAAACATGCAATTAACCATCTCTCTGTTATGCTCAAGCCACGCCCACCAGCCATGCCCACCAGCCAATCAGGAGTGAGTATGCAAATTAACCCAACTAAGATGGCCTTGGCCATGGAGCTGGAGCGAGAAGGAGGCTTGGGTTGTCCCCAGAGATGGAGGAAGCCAAGCTTCCCACCTGCTCTGGCAGGCCCTTGGCTCCACTCAAGGCACAAAGTTTCCATTTTAGAAGATAAATAAATCCCAGGAAAAAAAGGGGAATCTGGGAGCTTGGGTTGCTGGGGGGCATGGCCAGCCTGAAAATGGCCATCAGCCCCTCACCCAGGCTGGCCAGGCACCTCAGCGGGACCCCCACCCTGATCCTGGACACTCTTCAGGGCAAACCAGCTGGCCCCCACCCATGCACCAGCCTCTATCCTATATAATATAAGGGTAATATGCAAATTGACCCTAACAGCAGAACAACTGGGAATGACTGGTCACTATGACACACACTGACCACCAGGGAGCAGATGCTCAATGCAGGAGATGCCCTCTGGTGGTCAGTATGCTCCACAGGGGGAGCTCTGCTTAGCCACAAGCCAGGCTGATGGCTGCCAGCACAGTGGTGGTGGCAGGAGCCTCTCCCATCTCCTCAGCAGCGCTAAGGATATCTGACTTCAGCTTAAGCCTGCTTCCTGCTGGCAAGTGGACATCCCTCAAGGGCTCCCGGGCTGCCAGAGGGATGTCTGACTGCCAGCTTAGGCCCAATCCCCTGGGGAGCAGGCCTAAGCCAGCAGGTGGACATCCCCCAAGGGATCCCAGGCTGCGAGAGTGCACAGGCGGGGCCCTCCCCCTCCGAGTGCACAAATTTTTGTGTACCAGGTCTCTAGTGAAGAAATAAGGTAAAGAGAGAGAGGAGAGAGAAACAGTTCATAGTGACCTGTGGGAAAATATCAAGCAGTCTTAGATATGTGTTTGGAGTCAGAAAGAGGATGGTGAGGGAGGACATAGTTGATTAAAGGACGGCCTGCCAGCCCTAACCGGTTTGGCTCAGTGGATAGAGAGTCAGCCTGCGGATTCAAGGGTCCCTGGTTCGATTCTGGTGAAGGGCACGTACCTCAGTTGCAAGTTCCTCCCCAGCCTGGACCCTGGTTGAGGCATGTGCAGGGACAACCAATCGATGTGTTTCTATCACATTGATGTTTCTCTCTGTCTCTTCCCATCTCTTCCACTCTCTAATAATCAATGAAAAAATATCCTCAGGAGAGGATAAAATAAAGAAAGAAAAAGAAGAAGAAGAAAGAAAGAAAGAAAGAAAGAAAGAAAGAAAGAAAGAAAGAAAGAAAGAAAGAAAGAAGAAAGAGAAAGAAAGAAAGAAAGAAAGAAAGAAGAAAGAAAGAAAGAAAGAAAGAAAGAAAGAAAAAGAAAGGGGGAAGGAAGGAAGAAAGGAAGGAAGGAAGGAAGGAAGAAAGAAAGAAAGAAAGAAAGAAAGAAAGAAAGAAAGAAAGAAAGAAAGAAAGAAAGAAAGAAGAAAGAAAGAAAGAAAGAAAGAAAGAAAGAAAGAAAGAAAGAAAGAAAGAAAGAAAGAAAGAAAGAATTCATAAATGAAAAAAAAGACCCTAGATTAGGGAGTGTTGCCAGCCAAATCCATAAGCAATACTTGAGTGTATTCTCTGCTGGTGATTATAATGTAGGTAAACATGTCTTTTGCCCTCAAACATCATTGGACTAGAGAGGAAGGACTCATCACAAATGCATCTTTCTTTTGCTCCCTACCCCCTGATAGTGGGGTACTGGGTTCGGTCTAGTCTCTGGGCCACCATTGCCTTCGCTGCATCTCAGAGCAAGGGTGAGGTTGTGGGAGACAGCGGCAGATCTCACAGAGCCCGGGATCCTGGGTGCCTTCAGAATGGGGTTCCCACCAACGACGGGGAGGGCCTGGGGCAGCTGCTGTTCCCACAGGGCATCCCCCAGGATCCCCAGTCTCAGGGCCATGAGAGCTCAGCTTGGACGGGTCTGAGAAGAGCACAAACCATGGGCTCTCGGGCACTGATACAGGAGAGCTGGATGTGGCTGAGTGTCCCAGTGACCCCAAGGCCGTCCTTGCTTTGTGACATGGAGACTGAGGAGCTGGGTCTGTCCCCATTGCATCCCCCTTCCTTTAGCTGAGGAACAGACACAGGACCTACCTGCCCCCTCACCTGTCACAGGGGCAATGCTAAGCTTTAGGAGCTTGCCCCTGAATGTCACCCTCCATGGGCACCCAGGGAGGCTCGGGCCCCCGCGTCTCCTGTCCCTCCTAGCGACACCGGCCTGGTTCCTGGTGTGGCCTGGGACTGTCCCCGGACGCTCATCAAATGCCAGGCAGGCAAATTCCAAGGCCCCAGGAGGACAGTTGAGCTCCAGGAAGTCGCTTCCCACACGGAAAAGCCTGGCCTCCACCAGAAAGACAGGTCCCCTGGGGTTTTCCCGTCTGGAGGGAGGCCAGGGGAACAATTAAATTGCTCTGGGTTCCCAAGGCTGCAGCCAATCCAGGCCCTTTATAAGGAGTGAAGTGTGTCTCCCTCAGTCAGTGGCTCAGTTCCTGGCTCACCATGAGGCTCCACCTTCTACTTGTGTTCCTCTTCGTGTTCCTGTTGTCAGTCCCAGGTAAGAGAGCAGGACAGAAGGACATCACAGGACTTCTCTCTCTGTGTCCCCCTCCCTCCCTATCTCCGTCTCCTCTCTCTTTTTCTTCTATACACTCTTTGGATCAAAGGGACTGAATGGCTGATGAGATAGATGCAAGCACCCCACCCATCACCAAGGACGCAGGTCCAGAGCCTGACCCTGCAGGGCACAGCCACTCTGCATTTCCGAAGGCGCCCCAAGGGTGTACCTGCCAGCTCGTCTCTGGGCTCCAGGACCAGGTGCTGCTAACAGGGACACCTAGGTCAGCTGGCTTTTCTCATGTGAGAAAAGCAAGAAATTATGCCCTAGCCCCGTGGTCGGCAAACTGTGGCTCGAGAGCTACATGCGGCTCTTTGGCCCCTTGAGTGTGGCTCTTCCACAAAATACCATGTGCAGGTGCGCACGTATAGTGCGATTGAAACTTCATGGCCCATGCACAGAAGTCGGTATTTTGGGGGCCTAGCCAGTTACTCAGTGGTTAGAGCGTTGGTCCTTTAACTGAAGGGTTGTGGGTTCAATTCCCAGGCAGGGCCATGTACCTTGGTTGCAGGCTCGATCGCTGGCCCGGGACAGGGAGCGTGCAGGAGGCAACCAATCTCTCTCTCTCTCTCTCTCTCTCTCTCTCTCTCTCTCTCTCGCGCGCGCGCGCGCGCGCTCTCCTCCAACTCCCCCCTCCCTTCCACTCTTTCTTTAAAAAAAAAAAATTTATTTGGTTCCAGCCCAGAAGTGCAGATTATCACTGTACAAATCTTTATACTAAAGTGAGGAGTCCTTGGTAACCCAGAGAATAGCAAGGCCCAGCCTCGACTGGAGAGCCACTGTTTGGGCACCTCTGGGCCCCGTCTACCCAGCTCAAAGATCCTTCAACACACTCCTGCCATGGCTGCTCTTGGCTCAGGGCCAGGCAGCCCATGCACAGTGGCTCTGAAACCTGGATGCCAGCATTGTCCTTGCTCTTTTGTGTTAGGGAAACAGACCAAAAGGAGAGGAGGGAGGGAGAAGCGGGAGGCAAGGAGTAGACCTTAAATTATGTTGGAAAGCTCTTGTTTTATCTGTCTTCTTCTTGGCTGTATTCCAAGACAAGCCTTACCAGGAAGGGAGGTGGAGGGGACATGGCCTAGGAGGCGGGAGGAGCAGGAAGATGAGAGGGAAGGTGAGAAGGACTGAAGGGAGCCTCCCGGGAGGGTCAGGACCTGTGAGAACCGGACCAGTAGAGAGTTCTCAGAGATCATAGACACCATCACGAAAGAGGTTTCTTTTTTTAAAAAATTATTTTATTGATTTTTTACAGAGAGGAAGGGAGAGGGATAGAGAGTTAGAAACATCAATGAGAGAGAAACATTAATTAGCTGCCTCCTGCACACCCCCTACTGGGGATGTGCCTGCAACCAAGGTACATGCCCTTGACCGGAATCAAACCTGGGACCCTTCAGTCCGCAGGCCGGCGCTCTATCCACTGAGCCAAACTGGCTAGGGCATGAAAGAGGTTTCTTTACACATGTTTTATTGATTTCAGAGAGGAAGGGAGAAGAGAGAGACGTCAATGATGAGAGAGAATCACGAATCAGGTGCCTCTTGCAACGCCCCCTGGGCATGTGCCCTTGACAGATTCAAACCTGGGACCCTTCAGTCCACATGCCCACACGCTATCCACTGAGCCAAACTGGCTAGGGCACGAAAGAGGTTTTAAAACTATCCTTATTTTCCATTGTGAGTTACTTAGATATTAAGTTCTCCTTAACCAATCCTTGCACCGGAAAAGGCATCTCAGCTCAAATACTTCACTGAGGAAATGATGGAGGAAACAAAGACGTAAACACTGACCCTTGCTGGCTGTGTCCCATCCTAAGAGCACTGGTTGTATGTCACCTTGACTTCTTGGTGACTCTCTCTCCTTTGGAGGAACTGAAATGGTACAGACTCTTGTCCACCTGTCCTGTCCCACAGCCACCGCTCAGAGTCTGTCCTGCCCTGGTTCTGGAAACACAAGAATCCTCTCCAACCTCAGCAGTTCTGGTCTCTGTCAGAAAACTGGACCCTAGGATCACAGCCTCACCTCTTCTCACCTCGATGGCGTAAACCCGCCTGAGGTTTCACTCAAGGGAACACCGACTCCAAGGACCCCTCTGATATGGGGCTTTGATGTCTGACTCTCTTACCTTTTTTATTTTCATTTTAGGTTTTGCTCAACATAGTGATCCTCGTTGCAACGAGAAAGGTGGAATCTGCTTGCACAAGAAATGCCCTAAAGGTAGTAGACCAATAGGCTACTGTAACATGCCAAGCCTCAAATGCTGCAAAAAATAGCAATTGGAGATGAAGAGGCTGCTGTCACTGATGATGCATTTAAGTGTGTCCTTCACAAAAATGTGACATTTAAATAAAATTAAATCACATTAGACTCAGAATCTCGACCTCTTGTCCTGCTGGTTACTGCAAGGTGCTTGGTCACACAGGCCCATCTCTGAAATCCTGGAGGGCCTGTTCAGGCTCCTCTGTGAACTTCAGGGACCCCGTTGGGGGACCCATTGTGCTTTTCAGGTTTTTGGTGCCCTTAGAGTCACCTGAAGTCCACAGCCCTCCCTGTGCTTTCCTAAAAGGTGCACTCTGCTGTTGCTTCTCCCATCCTGCATGCCCTCACCTGCCCCACGGCACTCCCAACACCAGCCTCCCTCCCTCAGTGCCCACCAGAGCACCTCCTCCTCGGGACACCACTCCTGATCCCCACAGGAATTGGCCCCTCCCTCCTCCACGCTGTCCCAGTGCTCACTTCCTTTTGGTCCATGCCTCTCACTCACTCATGTGGGTCACGTTCTAATTCTCCACGTGGCTACAAAACCTCCACAGGGAGAGGACTTTGTCTAAGTCACTTACAAACAGTCTTTGAGGGGAAGCACTGCCTCATGCATTGTTATCAGTTGAGTGGCAACACGGAGTTGGACCAAGTGTTGCTCTCCAGGTGGACAGGATGGGAGTCAAGAAAACAGTCCTCGTTCGCCGAAACCGGTTTGGCTCAGTGGATAGAGCGTCGGCCTGCGGACTGAAGGGTCCCAGGTTCGATTCCGGTCAAGGGCATGTACCTGGGTTGCGGGCACATCCCCAGTGGGAGATGTGCAGGAGGCAGCTGATCGATGTTTCTCTCTCATAGATGTTTCTGGCTCTCTATCTCTCTCCCTTCCTCTCTGTAAAAAATCAATAAAATATATTTAAAAAAAAAAAAAAAGAAGAAGAAAGAAAGTCCAAGGAAGTGCACTCTGATTTCTAATTTTATTTCTTGGCACTTCTGCACAGCATCCGTCCATCCTTAATAATCAGGTTCTCACAAATTCTCATTTCACTCAAAGGCTCTGTGGTGATCAGCCTTGGGAACTGGGGGAGCCTCTGTCGTGCTTGATGCAAAACTATGGAAAGGAGGGTGGGTGCCAGCAGGAAATGGGTGGGAATCTCTGAGAAGGTCATGGAGAGATGCTCTCTCCACCAGTCACCAGAAGAGGGTGTCTTTTCTATGTGAATCATGAACAAATGGTCTCATGCTTGGGCCCAACGCCAACCTTTCATTGAGTCCTGGATCCCTTCTTTTGCTGACTGATGGACGAGACTCACTTGCTCTCTGTAAAAACTAAACACACCTCTTCCTTGACTATCATTCACCAGATATTGCTTCTTATCTTTGCCTAGTTTTTTAGCAAAACCTTTTGGAAGGAGTGTCTGCACCATTCCCACCTCCCCTCATCCAGCTCCTAGGGGTTTGATGCCACTCAAGTCTGACTGGTTCCCACCTCTCCACCAACAGGACCCCTGTCCATATGAGATCATAATGCACCTGCATGACCTCACTCAGCCCTTCATCTGCCCATTGTTGATCTGACCTGGCCCCTAATTGTGAGGCCTTGGGCAGCTGCCTTAGGGGTCCCTGCCAGATGGACAGGCAGCAGTCCACCTGAGAAGAGTGAAGGAACCCATTGCAAGGTAGGTTTTTAGGAGAACCATACATGGTAGAAAAAGGGGTGGGACTATATGCCTAACATCTAGCAGAGGTCCTCAAACTTTTTAAAAAGTGAGCCAGTTCACTGTCCCTCATACATTCAACACATGCGCACCGCGGGCCCGGGATGAGTCGGCTGCTAAGCAGGACAAGCAGCGGTGGCAAAAACATCCGGCCGGCCGGATAAATGTTTTCGGCAGGCCACATTTGGCCCGTGGGCTATAGTTTGAGGACGCCTGACTAGGGAGTCAATAAAACTGCTTTCAGTGTACCAGCATAGGGGATGAGAATGTGGACAAAAGCTTTCAGTCTATAATTTTATTATTATTATTATTAATTATTATTATTATTAAAGTATTATTGTTGTGGTCAAGAAAGTAAAAGCCTCACAGCTACAATGTAGAAGTAAATAGATTACTACATTTAGTCCATTTTTAGATGAACATCACTAAACTACACTAGGTCTCTATTTAGTGAAAAATTCAGATGCTGATGCAAAGTTTCAGAAGCTTCCTTTAACCTTTGCTCCAGTAAGAGAGAATGGGAGAAATTATATAAACTTATGCATCCATGGTCCCATATAATAAGTGAAGTTTAGTGGGAATTGGGTGTACTTACTACAATTCTAAGTTCTTCTTTAGACCATCTTTTCCTTCCATCCCAGAAATGACCAAAGTTGTACTACCAGCTTCTAATTTCATGGGCTCAAATAAGGCACAATTTGGTCAAATTTTAGTTTTAAATTGCAGTGTTTTTCTGCAGTATTCCAGCTCTTGATGGGAGAAGCTAACAGCTGTGTGATCTCTGGGACCCGGAAGTCGCCTAAGAAGCCCTTCTTACATTGGGTTGATCCCCTGGGAGAAATGTTAGCTAGACCACAACCCTGCCTGCAGAGGGACTGGCCAGCCACTGACTCCCCTGACGTCCCTGATTCTGAGACACGACTCAGGAGAATGGTACTGTATCGTCATCAAATGTACAGGGAGAACCAGAGCTTTAAAAGGTTATTTCAAGATCACTCAGCTCATATGTGGCAGATCAAGGACTTTGATCCGAGGTCTATCTGATCCCGAAGCTCTTTAACTATTAAGTGAAATTCCTTTTGTTTTTATTCCTGAAAAGATCACTGCTGACTTTATGGCTCAGATGATTTCTTTGATGTCTGCATCTTGATCATAATATACCTTTCTACTCCCCAATATTAGTGGCAATTGTTCGATAAGTAAGGAACTCGAGTTCCCTGTGTCCCCTCTTTTCCTTCTTTCCTTCTTTATCACTCTTTTAAAAAATATACTTTTATTGATTTCAGAGGGAAAGGGAGAAGGACATAGAGATATAAACACCAATGATGAGAGAATCATTGATTGGCTACCTCCTGTAGCCCCTTTACTGGGGATCAAGCCACAACCAGGGCATGTGCCCTTGACTGGAATCGAACCTGGAACCCTTCAGTCTACATACAGGTCTTTCCAGTGAGCCAAACCAGTTAGGGTCTTCCTTCCTTCTCTTTTTACCCTCCCTCATTTAGTTCCTCCATGCATCCATTTTTCATTCACCCATTATTTGGTTCCTCTATACTAGCTCTCAGTCATTTAAACATATTTGACTACCTTCTCTATGCCAGCCCACTGTTCAAAGTGCTGAGAATATGAGATAATAATAGGACATGTTACTTTAGTAATTCATGGCATGGTGAAACCTAGAGTCATGAGCAATATGAAGTTAAACTGAGATGGAGAGAGGAAAGAGCTGGAGAAGAATTTCAATATGTCCCTTTGTATTCTTCTGGCTTTACCACAATAATGCATTGATGTAAAACCTGTATTAAGAAATACTCTGGGCCCGACTGGCATGGCTCAGTAGTTGCGTTTTGAACTATGAACCAGGAGGTCATGGGTCCATTCATTCCTAGTCAGGGCACATGCCCCGGTTGTGAGCTTGATGCCCAGTAGGGGGACATGCAGGAGGCAGCGCATCAATGATCTCTCTCATCATTGATGTTTCTAGCCCTCACTTCCTCTCCCTTCCTCTCTGAAATCAATAAAAATATTTTTTTAAAGAAATACTCTGGGAAGAAATACTGCAATTTGGGACAATATGGATGGATCTTGAGAGTATCATGCTAAATGAATAAGGAGAAGGGAAAGCACAAAAACATATGATTTCACTCACGTGTGGGCTATAAAACAGAAAGTGCCAATGAACAAACAAAACAAACTAACTCATGGACACAGACAGCAGTATGGTGGTTACCAGAAGGAAGCAGATTGGGGTTGGTTGAATAGGGTAAAGGGGTCAACTATATGGTGACAAAAGGAGACTCACCTCTGGGTGGTGGGACACATGCCATGTAAACGATGTTATAGAAATGTCCACCTGAAACTCATGTGATCTTATTTAACCAACATTAGCCCAATACATTTCATTTTTAAAAATTTAACATAAAAAGACAAAATTACTCTGGTCCCCAAAGTCTCACCTGGTTGAGATCTATGCAAGAGGCGGCATGGGTGCGAGCTTGTCCAGAATGGATCAACCTTCTCTTAAATAGGAAGCACAAAAAGTTACTGACTGTAAAAAGGAGAAATTATTTTCATTTACAAAATTTCTCCTCCTTATTCACCTTCTAAAAAGGGAGCTTTTCTTCCTATTCCTAAAAGGGAAGCTGACATGCAATAAAGATAAATGAATAACTGGATGATTTGCAAAGCAAGTGGATTTTTTTCATTATTTTTTTCTCAAACAGAAAAAGCACCAAACCTCAAAGTCATAAGCAGAATGAGAATCGGTTAGAAAATGCTGACTAACGATAGAGGTCTTTTTCCTTTTCATCAGCCACAAACTTGGATCTGTCTATAGAGAAAACATTCTCCAATGACACCCAACCCCTCGCTGAGCAACTTCATTGGGAATGCAAGCATTTCCCCTCCTGCTGAATGTTTCAAACTCTTTTCCAGGTCACCTGCCTCCGTGGATGTGCACTGAAGAACCAGCCACCGCCAGACACTACCCGTTCATCCCATAATCTCAGAAATTTACTCACGATGAGGCTCCTATTCCTCCTCCTCCTCCTCCTCGTTTGTTTCTCACAGACGGTGTCAGGTGAGCTGTGGATCTGGCTGGTAGGGTGACATGGTGGCTGATCTTGGAGCCGGAAGCAGAGAGGACTGAGCGGTTCCTGATCCAAGGATGCACTGACATGTGTAACAACCAATGAGGATGGTAGCTGAAAGAAGCGCAGTACAAAATCCTTGATGTGCCACTTATTAAAAAGATTTTCCCAAGGTTGCCCATCATTACTAATTAGTAATAAACCCATAACTAACCACAGAGATAGATAACATGTACAGGGGGCTTTACAGTTTACAAACAACAACACGTCCTAATAGCAAACACTATTGACAGCTTCCTCTTGACCAAACACCACAACAAAACCTTTCCCCCTCTTATCCCACCTCATGGCAGCATTTACGTTGATGGGGCAGGTACTTTAGGCCTGTCTCACAGACGAGAATAAGAAATGAAGTAAGTGTTCCCGGTCACACAGATTGTATGAAGTGAAGCCCTTAACTCAAGCCCAAGTGGCTCTGGTTCCAAAGGCCATGTTTTCATTAAATAGTCAACAAGCCCAGAAAGTAAATGTATGTATTAAATTACATGGAAATGATGAATATGTTTTAGTATAACTATGGCCCAAGCAATACTTGGAACATCCTTGTACTAAAATATTTGTTGTTGTTTATCTGGAATTCAAACTTAATGGGGTATCCCGTGTCTCCCCTGGTGACCTGATACATTTGTCAGCTCGTGCCAGGTCACGCTATGGTGACAAGGACACCCGAATCTTGGCATCTCAAAGGAGCAAAGCTCTCATCTTGGTCACAGAGGAGGTCTGCTCACTGGAACTGCTCAGAGCCAGCCACCACCAGTCACCACCAGGTCATCCCATAGCCCCAGTAATCCACTCACTATGAGGCTCCTGTTCCTCCCCTTCTCCTCCTCGTGTGTCTCTCACAGATGATGTAAGGTGAGCTATGGCTGCCTTTTCATCAGATGCATAAAAATATCCAAAAACTAATAAAGTTGAAAAGGCAGCCTCCACCCCCGCGAAGCTGCTGCTCTCTGTGTCCGAGGAAAGCACTCCCAGGGGTCCCACGCTCCGGGAGGACGTGTCATTTCTGCTCAAAATTTATTAAACAAACTAGTCCCATGGCCCCACCCAATTACACAAAGGGTAGATCCTACTTTGTGTCAAGAAAATGGCCAGACCCGCCCAGCATGGCTCAGTGGTTGAGCATTGACCCATGAAGCAGGAGGTCACGGTTTGATTCCTGATCAGGGCACATGCGGGGGGTTGCCCTTTAGACAAAGGAGATGCTTTAGGAAGCTTTCCTGGTGCAGCTTATCCTGAAAAGAGCCAGGAGGTAAATATTTCAGGCTTCAGGGCCATAAGGTCCCCATCAAGACAGCCCACCTCTGCTGTTGTAGACTCAAGGCGCCACGGACAATATGGAAACAAGGAGCCACTCGTCTTCCTATAAAATTGAATCTGTCATGGACACTCATATTTGAATTTCATGTCATTTTCACTTAAAACGTGAAAACCATGCTAAGCTCGCAGGTCACGGGAAGGAGGTGGAGGGCTTTTGCCCTGTGGACATGACTTGCAGTCTCACTGTGCAAGGTGAATTCCGGCAGTTTTGGGGCACTATGCCTTTATTTCACTTTATGCTTTTTTCTTCACCTCCCCTGCTTTACAGGCTATGAAAAAAGAAAGAAAAACAAGGAATGTGAAGACATGGGGGGCGCCTGCAAGCACCAGAAGACCCACGGGTGCTCCATCCTGCCTGCAGAGTGCAGGAGTCGGAACAAGCACTGCTGCAGAGTCTAGCTCCCACACCACGGCGCCCCACCCCCCAGCCCCGCTGCTCGCCCTGCTGACTGCTCAATAAAGGCCTACCACTCACGCGGGTCCTGGACTGGGTCTTTCCTGGATGGGCATGCTCAAATGGCAGGCCGTTGAATGGGGAGGGGGGAGCATTTAAGTTCTATGGTTGCTTACACCACTAACCAGCTGGTTGACTTCGAACAAGGCCGTTCCTTCTCTAGTTCTCAGTCTCTGTACCTGCAACTATTGAAACTGTTGTTCTCCAAGCCGCCTGCAATCTGTTCATGTGAGTCTGCATACCTGTGGGCTGAGGGTAAGAGCTCCGAGGGTGTGTGTGTGTGTGTGTGTGTGTGTGTGTGTGTGTGTGTGTGTGATGTGTGGAGAAGTCCCTTAGATTGTGTTCTCATTTTCACACCCCTCAGTGGCTCTTGGGTATCAAGCCATGGCTCCCAGTTGATGACTGGGAGCCAGGGAAGCAAGCTAGGTCAGGGCCCTGAGGAGCAGAAAGCTTTCAGTTGGCACATAGGCATAACCCATAGGACCAGAGATTGAAAAAACCAGCCTCTCGTTCCAAGGAGAACTGAGACTCAGAGACCTAGTGGTTTTTAAAAATATATTTTTATTGATTTCAACAAGGAAGGGAGAGGGAGAGAGATAGAAACATCAATGATGAAAGAGAATCATCGATTGCCTCCTGCATGCCCCACACTGGGGATGGAGCCTGCACCCAGGCATGTGCCCTGACCAGGAATTGAATTGCAGTTCCCTGGGTCATAGGTCAAAGCTCAACCACTGAGCAATACCAGCCAGGCCAGATGTAGTGGTTATTTTCTTCTCCCCAAAGGTGCTGTCCAAATAGCGAGATTCCTTTAAAACCACAATGTTAGAACCCAAGAGATCGTCTCCAGGCCGGCTGAGATCTGAATTGTAATGGAGAGCCTGCTGCTCAGACTGGGAAACGCAATCTTCCGCCCATGGGAATGGAGTGTCCCCCGTTTTGAAATGGTGGGGACAAAGTTTCTTAGCAACAGTTATTCTTGGTGACTTCGTTTTTGTAACGAATCAACCACTCACACATTTCACGCTCTAGGGCAGTGATGGCGAACCTCTTGAGCTCAGCGTGTCAGCATTTTGAAAAACCCTAACTTAACTCTGGTGCCATGTCACATATAGAATTTTTTTGATATTTGCAACCATAGTAAAACAAAGACTTATATTTTTGATACTTATTTTATATATTTAAATGCCATTTAACAAAGAAAAATCAACCAAAAAAATGAGTTCGCATGTCACCTCTGACACGCGTGTCATAGGTTCGCCATCACTGCTCTAGGGAATGCGAAATGGAAAGACTGCTTTGGAAGATAGATGGCAAGTGTGAAACATGCTGACCGCACGGCTCAGTCACCCTCCTGGATATTACCCTGGAGACGTGAAATGTGTGCTCTGACTCAAAACCTGTGAGAAATGTTCATGGCAGCCTTTTCATAATTGCCAGCAAGGAGACACTAATGTGCATATACAGGGTGATCAGTGATTCTGGCTTAAATAATCTGGCTCAGGCTGCTAGGAGTGGCTGGAAGAGACGCTTAGTTGACTGAAACCCTAACTTAGTGACACATTAAAGAAAGTTGGGGTATCAGGACATCTGAAATACCCCTTAGAGAAAGGAACCCAGGACCGAGGGAGGAACATGGGAATTGATCTGTTATGTGTGACCACAGAGCACACTCTGGCTGGTCCTGAGAGGGCCCCGAGGACGTTCCCTTCACAAACAAAGGCATCAGCAACTTGTTCATGAGAAAAAGTCTATGGTGCTTGTCCTCCAGAATAGTGGGACATGGGGCAATCCCACCACTAGTGCCACTGAGGAGGTTAGACTATCAGAGGCCAAAGGCAATATGTGATGGCCTAGTCCGTGGTCGGCAAACTGTGGCTTGCGAGTCACATGCAGCTCTTTGGCCCCTTGAGTGTGGCTCTTCCTAAGCCTTAGGAGTACCTGCTGGGACCCCAGTAGGTCCAGGGGTCCCCAAAGGTGTGGACGGAGTCGGCGAAGAAGGAATGACACGGAGACAGCGTTCAGTTGATCAGCATGGTTGGGTTCTCTTGCCTGGTTCTATTGCCAGGTTCTGTAGCCAGGTTCTGTCTCTAGGTTTCTGTATCCAGTTTCTGTCCAGGATCTTTTGCCATGTTCTCTCCAGTGAAGTTCTTCTGTCTCTAGGTTCTGTGTAGGTTCTGTGTTCTAAGTTCTGTCTCTTTCGGTCTTGTTACATCTGTATTTATACCAGTTGATTCAATCCTATCAATCTCTATTACAAAGGTTAGGGCGTTTCTTATCTCCATTCCAGGGAGTAAAGATTATGTAGCTTAAGCATGATTGTTCGTAGTTAAAGTGATTAATTACCCGCCTGGCACTTAGTTGAGGGGTTTTATTCCCTCCCTAACTTCAGGGGAAAATCCCTACCAGGGGAAACAACCTTTCTCAGAGAGGAGACCTTGGTTAAAACACATAGTGCCAAGAAGGTGAGCAAACATTTTAAGAACAGTATGCCATATATGCCAGGTCCTTTGAAACAGCAAGGATGGACCGGCTCCCGGCAAGTACCCTAATTAAGTTAATAACAATGTACCTACCTATATAGTTTAAGTTTAAAAAATTTGGTTCTCAAAAGAAATTTTAATCGTTATACTGTTGATATTTGGCTCTGTTAATGAGTTTGCCGACCACTGGCCTAGATAATGTGCACTCTAAGTCTAATTAACTGAGGAGTTAAAATAAAAAGTCTAATCTAATTATTAACTTAGACATGATCCTTGTAATAGACTTTGGTGTTGGAATGGTAATCAGAATGGCTTGAACCCCAGAGACCTTCAGCAATTTTAAGCAGATGAGGTTGTTGCTGGCATGGAACTAGGAGGGCAGTTTACCACATGGCTGCAGAGGAAGTGCCCATAGGTTGCATCCCAATCCCTGGGCTTCCTTGGCAACTCCACCTTCTTGTCTCTCTCATTTCTGATTCCCCTCAGTCTCTGCTGGAAGCCTGGCCTCTGGGGCCTCAACCACCACCCCATCCCTCCTGATGTCTCCTAAACCACAATCTCCATTCTCGATCTCCTGCAGACTCTAGACAGGGACCCACTCCTGGAAACCCCCAACATCCAATGAGTCAAAGATAACAGCAACCTCTTCTCCCTCCCTCTCCACCTCCAAGGACCAACTCCTCATGCTTCTACTCTCAAATGTATTGTCCATAACTGACCTCCCCTGCCTGTCATTGGCAATGTCTTACTTCCTACCCTTCATCTCCAACATTTCCACTTCAACTGTTGCATAATATCTCATGTGGCCTATGGATTTCTCATTTCTCCATCTCCTCTCCACACCCTCATTTAAAATTCTCTCATGTTTCCCTGCGGCTTAAAAGGTAAAAATTTTCTTTAGAGTCCTCCATCCATTGGCCACACTTTCTCTAGCTTCATCTCTTACCATATTCTGGTTCGAGACCCACCCCTAACTGGGGGCAGTCACATCTTCAGTACTGTGCCCTTGCGCATTTTGTTCTCTTCATCTTGGAACTTATGTTACTTCTCCTTCAACTTTCCCTGCCTAATTCTCACCCATGTTTTAAGATCCAGCTCCTAGTCACCTTGTGGGATCATTCCTGACCCATCCAACTTGGATAAGACTTCCATGCTGTGTGTCTCAGCAGAGGAGACCTCAAACCCACGTCCCCAGCGATCTATGGGGGCAGCCGGTCATTGGGTAGCAACAAAGTAAATGAACCAACGAGTGAAGAAAAGGCTATCAGGAGGTCTCAGCCTTTCGAATTACTCAGCGCAGAAGGTTACGGTGAAGTCTCCATTTATTTAATGCAGGGCTCACACATCACAGGCAGACCCTTCAGCTCACTTCACTCGGATGCAGCAGAAACTCCTCCCAGGGCAGAACCCTGGCATGCGCAAAATGCAATTTTTCTTCCTCCTCAGGCACACGCTTATCATGGAGTCGCAGAACCCGTGCATGTCTCTGTACCCACAGCCTGAAGAAAGAACCAAAATGTGGGGAGGCAGAGCTCTCATGCAGGAGAAGGAAACATTCAGTCCAACCAGGAACCCCCAAACTTGACTGCTCACAAACCCATTCTGTCTGAGGCACCCCCTCTTCCCATCTGCCCTTTCTGCATTTTCGTTGGGCAGGAGGACGAGGCCAGCCTTCACGGTGGCCATGACAGAAATGTCTGTGCTGCCATGGGATCTGGGAGGAGGCACTGTGCCCACTCTTTTTGGGGTGATAGTCCCTGACCCTGATGTGCTCTGGCGGCTGTCACTGTGGAGTAGTCAGCCATGTCCTTTAGAAGCAAACATGAACATCGATGTCTTCAACCACCTGGAGAGAATCCCACTGAGAATAGGATGACACTACAGCCCCTCCTCTGGGAAAGGAGGAGCTACAGGCGTGTTCATTCCAACATGTAAACATGCACGACACACCTCAGAGCATGTGAGGCATGTCAGCCACCCTCTGAAGTTCACCCATGTTCCCAGGCGTAAAACAACCCCTCCCTCACCTGCCTTCAGGACGTAACAGATATGCCTTAAAAAATGAAATTAAAGACCTAAAATTCACGTCTCTAAAGAAAAAGACCCAGAGGAATTGGGGGCAGGAGCCGAGGTGAGAGGTTTCTAGAAGAGAGAAAAATACCTACAGCACTTGACTCAAAGCCTCCTGGAAAAGACTCCTTTTCCTTCCTGCTAGAAGGTGAGAGGGCTGCACTCGGCCCCACAGAGCAAGGGTCTCAGCAGTCCCCCGTCCAGCCTGTCCACTACGGGCATCAGCAGAAAGTCACCACCCTTGGGACCCAGGAGGCAGAGGTCCCGGGGTGGCTCTCATTGGCCTCAGACTGGCCATAGGGCCAAAGGCTCTTGCTCCCTGACTTCACCCACTCACAGACCTCAGCCCTTTGTCCTTGATGGCACCTGCCCTGAGCCACCCACACGCTGCCAGGGAGTGTGAGGGCCAGGCTTTAGCAGAACTTCAGGACGTGCTTGTCAGCAGTCTTTGTAGCCCATCCTCCGGCCAGAGGCTGCCAGGAAAGGACCACTCACACCTACCCTGTGCTTCCTCAGAGGACTATGCCCGAGGCCTCAGACACTTCGACCATCTCTGGGAAGCACCCCCAATCCTGTGCCCCGGGGCAGCACCCAGGGGAATGTCACGGGAGGTGTCCTGACAGTTCTTTCCCTGTGCTTCCCTAAAGGGCCCCTTCCTGCCACCCACAATTCACCTTCCCTCTCTGATTGAAAAGCAGCTCAAGCTGAGGACATTGTTGGGGCCACTATTCTGAGTGTCACAACAAAACCCATCACAACTCCCAGGGGGTCACAGTGAACAGGCTGTTAACCCAGAGGACCGTGGCTGGGGACAGGCCCCTCCCTCCAGCTCCTGTCAGCTCCTGTCTATAGAAGTGTGAATTAGCACATGGAGCCGTGAGCCCTGAGATGAAGAGTGAAACATGTGATTAGATGAATAGGTTTCTATTAGTGCAGAACACAAGGGAGGAACAGAGTTGGGGGGACAAGGACTAGGGGGTGAGCACAGTGCACAGCGGCCTCAGTGCCCTGCCTGACCCCTGGGCTGAGCCCTCACAAGCCACCTTTCTCTCCGGATCCAGGTGTGCTCACACTCCACCCCTGGGCCGGCTGTGACACTGGGCACTTCTGTGCTGCAGGGGACGGACAGGCAGGGGGCAGACCCCAGCCTCCCTCTCTGCTCATCCCTCCAGCCCTGGAGCAAGATACAGAGCAGCACATACCCCTGTTTCTCCCAGGTGCCACAGTTCTAAGTATGTGAACTGCCTGCTTTTGCAAAACCTCTCAGCTTCTCTTTCTGCTCCTGCAGCCAGCCATCCAACACGATACCCATAGCTGAGGCAGAAGCTTAAAGAGAGGAGAGCATGTGTGTGAGGGTGTCATCAGATGGGATGGGAAAGCAGGTGCCCAGGTACGGACTTCACTGACAGGTGCCCAGGTGCAGACCTGAAGGTGCTAACCCTGCCACTCCCTTGAGAGGCTGCCCTTTCCTCGCTGTTCCTGGTGAGCATCCCTACACTGGCTCCGGGGCCCGGGGGTCCTTCTGCAAGTGGAGTGGTGGGAGGAAGGACATGGGGTTCAGATATGAGAAGGCAGTGCCAGTGAGGGCTTACCTGGTGTCACCTGAGACAGGAAGAAGACAGCGAAGATGAGGACATAAACCAGCTTCATGGGGCCGGTTCTGTGGGGACCGCTTTTGGAACTCCTGGGAGGAGAAAACAGGTGCATGACCATGTTATTGGATAAAAAGTAGCTTAAAGCTTCCCCATACAGATCCAACCAGGGCGACTCACTGCAGGAGAGAGTGCCCAGTTTTGGCCAGAGCACTCGCTGAATGTACAGTGAGCAGTGAAGCCCATGAAATGAACGGGCACAATGGTGAGCAAGCTCCATGCAGAGCTGGGCGATGCCCTTTGTTCCCGCCAAGGACCCTGGCAAATGCAGCAGTGGTCATGGAGGTAAAAGAATGGCTGCAGCAAGTTGATGTTACTCTATGAATGCGCTGGAGAGTATATGGCTTTCTCCCCATTTACTCTCCTGGAACTTGGATGATCTGCTGCGTGAACTTGGGCACACACAGTGCCAATGCCACCTCCCATATTACCACTAAGGGCGCTGGCACTCAGCAGAACGAAGCCGTCACTCACCTCTCAGACTCACCTCCCAGCTCCGCTCCCTCCTCAGACCCCCGCAGCCTCTTGTATGCGCAGAGAGGCCGTGTCACTGGGTCACATGCTCTGACTGGGGCCTGGTCCTGCCCGATCTGACCAGTGACATCGGCCTTTTGTCCCAGGGTGACTCTGCTGACTCAGGTCATTGTCCAGGCCACAGTGAGATCTCATGACCCATCAACCTCGTGGCCATGGTCCTTGCACGGATGCCTGGCTTAGCTTTGGGGAGGTGCCGGAAGAGGGGTTTTCCTCCTGACCCAAAGCCAGAGTGAAAGTCAGGCCTCCGCCCACGCCAGATCCTAGTCTGCAGGCCCCTCATCTGACTTCACCTGCTATGTCTGTTCTCTGTCCCAGGTGTGGCCCGCTGACCCTACCTTCGAGACCCAGGGAGCTGGGGTTGAGATTTCTCTTGTTTTTAACCGGAAAATCCTGGGCTCCTCATGAGAGGTGATGCCCCTCTTTCTGAAGGAACCTCGAACTCGTCCACAGCAAGCATCTTCAGAAGTGGCCAGCGTAGGCACTCTGTGCCATTCCCTCCTGTTTCCAGGTCATGGTTGACGTCTGACGTGTGTTTCTGTAATAAGAGGCCGACCGAGAAGAGCACATGGAAGGCATCTGCCTTCCTGCAGCCAGAGGCCTACCGTCTGCTTCACGCAGACACCAATGCCATCCCCAGTGCACACACGAGGAAGAGAAGAAGAGACCTGAATGGTGGTGAAATTTGTACGTAGCAAAGCCCACGTTAGAATCAGGAACCAGGCCCCAGACCTGAGTTCTAGTCTGGTCTCCTGCGGAAGGACCTCCTAGTCCCTTCACACGGGGATTAGCTTCAGATCACGGTGGCTATCAGTTCACATCTAAGAATAAATTGGCTGATAATGTTCCATTGACTCATGAGAATTTGGAAATTTGAGGTTCAAAATAAAGGTTTTTGTGATATTAATGAGCAGATTTAAAAATTCACTGTAATGGGGGAAAGGTGCAAGAATAAAAAAGATTATTTTTGTAAAGACAAACAAATCATGACTTCCACTATCAGGTATAATAATGTACAATGATGCTGAGGCTTGAAACATGTGGCACTGGCCCAGGAACAGAAAAAAGTACCAGGTTCCTGCCCTAGCCGGATTGGCTCAGTAGATAGAACATCGGCCCATGGACTGAAGGGTCCTGGGTTTGATTCCCGTCAAGGGCACATACCTCCACTGTAGGCTCCATCCCCAGCACTGGTCAGGGAGTGTGCGGGAGGCAACCAGTCAATGTGTCTCTCTCACATCAATGTTTCCCTCTCTGTGCCTCTCCCTCTCCCTTCCACTCTCTCTAAAAATCAATGAAAAATATCCTCAGGTGAGGATTAACAACAGGAAAGTATTGGGTTCCTTAATAGGTGCTTGTAGAGCTCGTTAACACCTGGCAGGTCTGAAAGCCCTGCTCTGAGCCCTGTTTCTTCTGTGTCCATGTTCCCATGGGTGTCCCTGGGGCAGAACTGGAACGTTTGGGGTGGGGGGGGGGTGAAGGGGGGAGGGGCACATTCCATAACTGTCCCCTGGGCCCTGCCTGCCCTGCCCCCTGGGTTCTAGTGACCTCGGTCCTCGTGAGGTAAGGGATGTCTGTGCTTGTACCCTTGCTTCTGGTTCTCCTGAGGGGTTGCTTTAGCATAACTGAAGGTGGTGCATGACCTGAACCAGACTCATGGGTGGCTTGGTTGCCCTGAAGTGTCTCTTACTGGAGCTCAGGAGCCACAGGAGGGACTGCAGGGACTGTCCCAGGGCAAGGCAGGTTAGTACTTTCACTGGACGCCTGCCCCAGAGCAGTGTGGCAGCTGAGGTGGCCCCTGTCACCTCTGCTGCTGCAAGGGTTCATCGTGGATCCTTCTGAGTGGCTTGGGTGTCGGTGGGTTCCAGCAGGTTCTAGAAACTGGAACTCAGGGAGCAGGGCTTTAGTGAATTCTTTTAAGCAATGTCCTCTGAGACTAAAAATGTATACAACTATTACAGTAGGAAATCATGCTGTAGAAATACTGTACACGTTTCCAGTTAATAAGTAAGTAGAGCTAAAAGGTAGGAGCAGCCCTGGCCGGTGTGACTCAGTGGTTTGAGCATCAGCCTGCCCACCAAGGGGTCGAAGTTTCGATTCCCAGTCAAGGGCACATGCCTGGGTTGGAGTTTGCTTCCCATTCCCCCTTTCCCCCCACCTCCCAGGCACGTTTGGGAGGCAACCAGTCCATGTCTCTCTCCCCCCTCCCTCCCTGCCTCCCTTCCACTCTCTGAAAAGCAATGGAAGAAATATCCTCTGGAGAAGATTAACAAAAAAAAGTTAAAGATGGGGGCAGCAGGAGTGTTGTCCAAATTGGGCCAAGAGGAACTGGGCAAGACCTGGAGTCCACACCCTCAGTCAGCTATTTGTTCTAACAGTTCCCAGGATGCTCAAGAGAGCACAGCCTGAGGCCCGAACACTAACCCACATGGTTGGCCAGAGTCTGAAAGGACTTTGTCACTCACATGTGGCCAGTGAGGCCTCCGCCGGACCCCTGCCCACACCACTCGGTGCTGCAGAGCCTCTGCCCAGTACCTTTGCTTCCCATTTTTGAATTTTTATTAAATTTACTGGGGTGACACTGGTTAACAAGGTAAGTTTCAACTCTACAGTTCTATCATACATCATCTGTAGTTTGCATTTTTCACTTATCAATATTTAGTGTATTAAATGTTATTTATTTCCATTGTCTTTTCCTCCATTAGGATATATGCACCATGAAGGTAAAAATATGTTTTTTCTGTTTTGTTCACTGCTCAATAAATAAATTGTTGCCTGGTGTGGCTCAGCGGTTGAGTGCTGACCTATGAACCAGGAGGTCACAGTTCTATTCCAGTCAAGGCGCAGGCCCCAGTTGCGGGCTCGGTCCCCAGTGGGGGGCATGTAGGAGGCAGCCGACCAATAATTCTGTCTCATCATGGATGTTTCTATTTCTCTCCCTCTCCTTTCCTCTCTGAAATCAATAAAAATATATTTTAAAAAAATTTAGATTAAAAATAAATAAATAAATAAATTGTTGAGAAAAAGGAATGCATGAAAGTTGACACAATCGGTGAATTTTCCTGGAGTCAAGCAACAGGGGCAGCCAAACCCGGTCACACGTCACTCTACTGATGGGCTGTGACAGGTTGTCAGAGCTGGGACCATAAGCACCAACAGTGTTTATTCCTGGAGCTCCCATCTCTGCTCTTTCTCCACCCGTGACCATGATTCCCAGCATTCCCACCAGGGTCCCTGCCCTCCATTTCGCCCCTGGAGTTCTTCTCTGCTTTCCCAAGCCAGGCCTCTGTGCTTGAATCAGGAAGAAATGGGTGGCCCAGCAGGTGTGGCTCAGTGATTGAGCATCATCCTATGAACCAGGCGGCCATGGTTTGATTCCCAGTCAGGACACATGCCTGGGTTGTGGGCTCAATCCCCTGTGTGGGGCATGCAGGAGGCAGTTGATCAATGGTTCTCTCTCATCATTGATTTCTCTCTCTCTCTCTCTCTCTCTCTCTCTCTCTCTCTCTCTCTCTTCCTCTCTCTTCCTCTCTCTCTTTCCCTCCTTCCTCTCTCTCTAAAAATCAATAAAAACATATTTTTTTAAAAAAGGAAGAAGAAACAGAAAGAAGAGAGAGGCATAGAGGCATGGGCTACATGGGGCTGACCAGAGACTTTGAAACGGAGAGATGTCAGTGACTCTGTGAATGCTGGGAGAATTATGTGACAAAGCAAAGAAGGTTTTGACTTCATAGTGAAGAAACACAAATTAGGAAATGAATTATTTTTAAATCACTCATAGGTTCCTAAGTTCTCCTGGGGATGGTAGACTGTTCCACTCAAGGACAGGACTCACCGTTGACTCTCCCCACAGACACTGGGCATAGCAAACCTGCGATGATCCTTGGACACAGACTGTGAAGGGGATAGTGCTGATCAGGAATGCGGGGAATCACACTCTGTCTGTGTCCAGCATCTTCGCCTACACTGACTGACAACCGTGACAGCCCATGTGGGTCCGCACACTGAGCTGAGTCCTAGTGGTTACTCATTGATGGGACCCAGCCATACAGTTGGCCCAGACTGTTACTTGTCACAGTGCCAGCCAAGCTCCATTCTTTTCCATGGACTGTTTAGATTTTGGAAGAAGGCAAGTATAACTTATCTTTTCTCTGTCTCCCAACTTCCTGGGCACCTTGGGCACCTGCTGCCTCCTCCCTAGCCTCCTCCAACTTGTGCTGTAAATTGCAGGCGGTGATGCTGATCCACAGACTGGCTCCTCACCAGAGTCAGGATGTGGCGTAGTGGAGAGATCACTTACGATGCCACAGAGGGTTCATGGCCTGGACAGGAACAGTGAGCAGGAAGACAGGAAACAGTCACTTTATCCCAGGCTCTACCTCTGAGCATGCGCCTTCTGACCTGCCATTGAGATTCCTTTCTGGGTAGTCTCTGTACTGTGCTTTCTTCCTGCGTGTTCCCAACACCACCTCAAGCCCTGTGCTACCCCCACAGCTCCTTCCCCATGGCAGCGGCAGGCCCAGGACCAAGCCCCGTCCTCACATCACTCGCCCACTATAGTGAATTCTCTCCTGTGCACACTCCCTGAGGTTTCAAAGGAAACCACAACTTCCCTTCCATGCAGGCAGAGAGTTCTGGAACTGACCACAGCCTTAAATAATGTTCCTTCTTGTGCTGACTCTTCAATGTGGGTGAGCTGTTGCACCTGGCTGGGTTTCAGTTTCTACATCTGTGGCTTGGGGCTGGTAACCCAGAGCGGTTCTCATGAAAATGCCCTGCAAAACTGAAAGCGGAACATACACTTAATTCTTATCATTGATTCCCTCCCGACCACCTGTTCTGGGAAGACGATGTTCTAATCAACCCTGAAGACAAAATGATCCATGTACAGATGTGAGTGTTGAGAGCTTTTATTTTGACCCAAGGAGCCACGCGCCAGGTCTTAGGGCCGGGCTCTCTCCCCCAGCACTCTCATTGGTTCCTCTTTATGCGGCAGCAGATGGTGAAAGCTCGGCAGGGCCCCTGGAAGGGCTCACAGTTTGGGGTGCCCCACTTCAGGCAGATCCCGCCCCGAAGGTAGCAGGGCCTTTCAAAATTGAGAGCCCCGGTGCTGTCTGCAAGAAGGACATGAAGTCTGTGTGAGGCTGGCATCCGGGGAGAGCTGAGACCTGCCTCCCCATCAGACGGGCCCATCCCTCCCAGCAAGCCACCAACCGTATCCACTCTTCTCATCACCTCGCATCCTTCCACAAGATACCACTGATACTGATACCACCTCTGGCCAAATTGTCCTTCCTGCCACAGGAACCGCTGGGCATGAACTGGGCAGGGAGGTGTGCTGAGTCTGTAATGACTGCCCACCGGTTCACCAGTTATCTCACCTGTCCCACCACACAAATCCCTCCTAGGAGAATCCTTGCCCAGCTACACTCTTGGTCACTCCTGTGATCTGAGCCGCACGAAGTCTCTGTTCAGGGTCCATCTAATCTTTGTCTCCACTCCAGGTTACACTAACCAAAGGGTTCAACTGATTTGGTTCTCAACCATCCAGGTCATTTGTGGGAAGGGGAGGCAAGTCGACCACTACCCACAGGACTTGCAGTGGCATAAAGACACACCACCAGCTCTCAGAGCTATTCCAACTCACCTGCAGTGAGGGGGGTGGGGGGAGGTGCCCGCTGGCAGCTCCTTGAGCCTGTGCTCCCAGCTCTGACTGAGGGGGTAGAAAGGACAGCAGGGTTGGTATTTACCGGGCAGTACCTGGAGGATGGTAAGGAGAGCAGTGAGGAGGATGTGCAGGAGTCTCATTGTCACTCGCCACGGTTCCCGAGACCTGGGGAAGGGTCGGAGGACAAGGTCAGCGCCCGGGTTCTCTGTCCCAGGAACTCGCAGCTGCCAGGGATGAAC